CATATTGATGTCTGTTTGGCGTGTGCGAAGGAAGGTGGCGTAACCCTCAGACCAAAAACTTGGTTCCGCGCAAGTCAATATGAGTGAGCCCCCCATGATAGAGTGCACTTCGTCTTTATCTATGACTTCGGCATCACTTTCTTTATGAAGGATTATGGTGGTCGTCCCTTTCCCCCTGCAAGTACGTCTCTTTTTCCTTTCCTAAGATCGGGCCGTATTAACTCTTCGCTCCTGAGTGTTTTGTTCCCGGAACCAAACATTTAAGAAAGACTTAAGGTTATGCTTAGCGTTAAGTTCGAGCCATAGATTAACTAATGCGTGACTAATGCCCACTTGCACTAAACTTCTTCTAAGCACGTCCTTACCTAAGTATACCTTGAAATTTAAGTCCGACTTAAGTTTCAATGAGTTGCACCATCCGTTTTTCACGTGTTTTTAGCTAAGCTTCAGGCAATAACCGGCAACTCTGTATTTTTCGTTCTGTTCTGCATGTCTGTGTTGTTTCTAACCGAAATTAGAGACCTTTTTAAAATTTTGTTTCACTCATGGCTGCAAAACAGAAAGGGTCTCCTAATTTTGGCGCTTCTGAAAGAGATACTCTTTTAGAGCTCGTTGCGTTTCATAAAGATCACCGAAAATAAAAAATATAATAATAAAAATAATAACAATAAAAAAACCAGATGCTGTGTCTTCGCAAGAAAAGCAGTCAACATGGTAGAAAATGTCGGGCCAATTTAATGCTATTTGTTAAAACAATTAATAATTAATTTTTAAACAACAATTCCGCCTACGACCGCAATAATCAGGAAATTCTACAATAACCAAAAAGAAGACATGCGGAAGCACATTTCCAATCAGAATAAAAAACTTTATAAAACTTTTTTGGTGGTGATTGGGTACAGCCAAATGAAACTCCGCCATCTTTCATTTTCCCAATTAGTCAGAAAGTGCGTTATTGAAACGTTGAAATTCAAAATTCATGATGTACGTAGGTACTTATTTTTTGAAAATAGGACGTTATGATTACACAATTCATATACGTATACTGTATATTTGACTAACTATCGGCTAAAGTAAGGTTGGAAGAAGGCTAAGTCATGCTTAAGTACTCGAGAACGAGTCCTTAAATTTAAGATTTTCAAAGACGAACTTAAGAAGAAAAGGAGCAAAGGGACAATTTCCATCAATAATTCCGGGTTTACTATCCAGCTATACAGTGAGTATTGTCTGATTTAAGCAATACAAATTCCTGCCTGCTGAGCGGCCAATTTTTGAGGAATTTCATGTTTTCCCATGCCTGTTACATAACAATTATTTTAGAGCATCCACCATGGGTCACGGTTTTGGAAACTTATGGAAATTCAGAGGCATAATCACATACAGGCTGTCGCCTTTTGAACTAAGAGCATTTGCTGGCACTATTAATCCCGGTATTCCCAATACTATTCGGAGGATTTTGGAGAATGTCCCCTACATGTCTCGTAAGTAATCGGTTGCTTAATTAGCAAAACAATATTCCAATCAGAGCCGCGTTACAGCATTGGCAGTAGCATACCTAGTCTATGATGGCGTCGAGAAAGCCCATAAAGAAACAATGAAGAAAAATCCTGCCGATTTCGAAAATGATCAATAGTCGTTGTCTAGTTACATGGTATAGTAATTTTCCAAATAAATAAACCCCCAGTATATTAACATTGGTTCAATCAGTTGTTTATTCTGATAAAGCGATCCAAATCCTAATAATTATAGTACAAAAAATATAAATATGTTATCCGAAAAGCGCGTTTAAGGCCTACTCGCCGGCTACTCAATGCTTTACATCCTTAGAATTTTAATTCAATTAATCCTGTAAATCACAGCACATAAACTATTCCTCCTCATCCTCGGAGGAACAGTTTTCACATTCAGAGCTGTCCTCATCGTTTGAGCTCTCAGAATCTGATTCACTTGACTCCGCATAAGTCAAAACCGGCCGATTGGGGTTTCTCCAAAGATCGTCTTCAGAATCCGAGGCGGGCTGTTTTTCCTCTTCCTGCTTGCGCTGCTCCGTAAAACTATTGGGCCACACTCCCTCCTCTTGCAAGTAGGCGATATGCTCCTTGGACAAAACCTTGACAATTTCCCCTTTGACTTTCTTTCCCTCCGCTATGGGCTCCACTAGGACATAGTAGCCCCATTTCACCCACGTTAGCTTGCGGAACCTCGAAGGCAGAGAGACTAGAATAACGTCCCCTTCGGCTGTTCGCACTTCATGCAAATTACTTCCTTTAGTCCCCATTACCTGGGCAATCTGTTGGATTGTGGTGGGCAGCGCAAAGTCCTCAGTGAGGGCTGTGCGCGGCATGTATTTATGCTTCAGAATCGCTGCCATATCTGGAACAAGTAATACTGGAATTAGCTACTTTTAAGGCTGTAATTGGCCAAATAAATGCCGGAGAGACTGTTTTTGTTGTTGTTTGAGATTATTGTAAGATTTACACAAATTTGAAACGGTCGCTTATAGAATGTGCCAGAATATTGCAAATATTTTGTGCGTAAACGTTATATAATGTCGTAAATAATCAACCACCACATCAAACTCTGATAGGTATGGCCTAATTAATCAAACTTCAATTTGACATTTTCGCTTAAAAACCGTTTTCGAAATTATGAGTGGAACAATCGCCTGGACCACGCTGTCCAGCATGTACATCAACTCATTCATCGAATACTTGAATCATTCCAAAACGATCGGCGGCATCATTTTCGAGCAAAGCCTCAATGTGCACAATCTGTTCAATTTGACGCTGAATCTGGTGCAGGATCTGGGCCAGTATCGCAGGCCCTCAAACCCATTGGCCGAACAGTACCTGACCGATCCGATTTGCCAGACAATCGACGATGTGCGAGCCTATGAAACCAAAGCGAGCGATCATATCTTTGAGGTGACGCTCGTCAGTAAGAGTGTGACGATCTTCGAGTGGCCTAAGGAGCTGGACGCGGAAAAGTTCGTCAATCGACTCAATAAGTATGTGCAATTCTATCAACAGAAGGCTCAGTGTGAGATTGAGAACTTAGACAGGACTCATTTTGAATGGCTGCGAAGCTGGAACGAAACTTATGAAGAATTTGCGGTTTTCGTGGTGAAATTTTTCAAAAATGGCCTGGCCTGGTCGGGCTCTTCCGTCCTCGCGCTCCATCAAGTCCTGGGCGATTCGCAGATTAATCCAGAAATGAGCAACATTGAGCCAATCGAAAACAGCTTGATCCAAAGCGAGAGTACACTCAAAATCTTCTCCAAAAAGGAGAAGAAGTGGCTGATCCAGAACCAGCAGAATAGCCACAGGGACCTGGTGGTCAATACAGCTAAAAAGGACGACGCGATTTCGATCTACAGCTGCGAAGACTGCACTGTAGTCGCCGAAAACATTGTAGATTCAATCAGCTTGGAACTCTGCAAGAGAGTGACGGTGCTATTGAGGAACGCAGCAAAAGTTGCAGTCAGTGCTTGCACCGGCTGCAACTTGCATTGTTTTGAAATGGTCCAGGACTTGGAGCTGATTTCCTGCGAGAATTGCGGGATTTATTTGTCGGATAAATCTCTGGATTGTGCGATTATTACCACGAAATGCTCAGGGATACACGTTAATTTCCCGTTCGAGGACGGGCTGTATCAGAGTTTTATGATACCCGATGAGCTGAAGACAAAAATCTTGGGCAACAGGGGAATTGAAACTGTTGTTAGGCTATAAGAGATGTATAGAGCTTGAAACCAAATTTATTAAAGGAAATGCCTCGAGAGAAAACAAGCAGTTTTTATCAATGAAACAGCGTTTATTATTTAAACTCTAATAACATTAAACCAGAAAAAACAACGAGTTATCGCGTTTTGTTGTACCAGCACGTAAACTGGCCCTTGGCCTTTTGGATGGCCTGATGAATATCCAAAGCCTCCCCATTGGGGATGCCGTAGCCCCTTTGCAAACCATGGGGATTGCTGGGGGTGCGACTGTCGTCGTCCGAGTTTTTTCGTAGAACCGAATCCACTTCCACGCTGGAGAAAAAGGCAACCGATTGGGGCAAGTCGTGGATGCCCAGCCTGTAGGCGCAAAAGCTCCTAGTCAACAAATTGGCCACATGCAAAGCGAGGGCGGCCTGATACTTGTAGCGATCCGGTACAATGTAGCGCACTTCGTCGTGGAAACTGATGCAAAACCGCACTTTGTCGCCCATTATCCACTTCATGCAGGTGAGCAGCAGGTGCAGAAAGTCCACAGCGCCTGATTGAACAACCCAGTTTACTTTGGTGGTCATGAATCGGTCTTCGCCTGAAGTAGTGGGTTCCAAGGCTCGGGTGAGACGCCCGCCCAGAAAGGGGGTTTCAGGGGCTTCGCTAGTGGCGATTTGCTCCAGACGATTGAACATCGCCGATTCAGTGCCGCCCACCCACTTGGACTGGTGGAACATTTGGCCCACGGTTTTTTTGCAGGCCTTGGCCAGCTCAAATGCTTGCCACTTGCCGTAGGCGACATCAGGAAAGTCCAGCGCATAACCGGGCCTGAGAAAGTATATTTTTTTGCCCTTGGTCAGAGTGAACATCTTCTGAGCTTTGCTTCGCGCCTCCGACTCGCTTATAGCCGGATTGAACTGGCGCAGCAGGCGCTCAGCAAACTGCTGCCCAGCCCCGTAAATTCTCGCATAGTTAATCACTTTGGCGTGGTCTCTGGAAATGCCCACCGCTTCCGCTGTTACGCTGTGCATGTCGGTTTTCTTCTCTTTGGACCCAGAAAGCGTCATCCAACCCAAAGGGGTTGCGCCATGCGTTTTCGCATGGTCCGCATCACCTGAAGAACAATACGCATAATCAAGTATTCGCGCAAAATAACGCTGCAAAGCCCAACCTAGAAGGCTGGCTATCCAGAGCTCCTGCGAATCCACATCGGCGCCCACTATGCTGTAGCCAGGCGGGGCCTGAACCATCGCTTTCAGCTCGCTGCCGATTCTTTCAGGGTGGGCGTTGGATGCGGTCATCCATGTGGGCTCCATTGCACGTCGCGTTAGCGTTCCACATACCACCACTTGGGGAATTATCGCTCCCAATGTGATTCCTGCCGAGTAAATCAATGCTCGAAGAACATGGAATGGAAAAGGGGGTCCGGACAGCGGTTTCGGGACAAATCCTTATGAGTTAAGCGGCGAACGCGATTTTATTTTTACCAACTTCACTGATAAGGATTTTTCCTTCAATCGCGCTCGCGTTTTGCGCCATTAGCCGGACACTCGGTATATTCACTTCTACTACCAAATGTTACTTGGCTGAAATGTCGACAGACAATCAACAGGCTTGAAATCGGTGAAGAGTCACATAGCCACGAGGCAGGGTTTTCGAAAATGCTACAAAAAACGAGCGAAACGAAAATTCTTATTGAATCGAGGCCAAATTCATTAAAATGGGCCACAAATTGATAATGCGCTCAAAGAATTTGACTGGAAATCCAAATTTTTCGACACACTTTTCACAGTTGTATTTGAAAAGAGTTATTAGGCATTAAACTAAAGTTTTCTGCTCCAAATAAATTAATTATGTTTCTGATTTAGTTCAGTTGAACGGTCAGCATCGAAATCCACATTTCGACAAGCATTTTTAAAGTGCACCAAACAAAGTAGTTTGGTTTTAAATTCGAATTTTCGAAAATCAGTCTAACATTTCAACTTCTGTTCGTTAGTATTTCGACCACATTAGCGAAATATTTCGAACCAAATAGTCGGCCAAATTGTTTTTTGTAAGCAAACGCAAACGGGTGTACTTTATATCAAATAGTCTTTACAACTGATTATTTGGGAATAAGTAGAAGGCTAACGTGGACAGTGAACGACGCAATTAATTGCTGAAAATCGACAGACAAAAAGCAAACACGACATGGATAGAATGATCTCAGCCTGCAGTACATACGGAAAATGCGCAAAAGGGATCGTCCAGGTCCCAAGAGGATAATGCGCTTTTTAAGCTAACTCGCAGAAATTTGCGGCGTAGATATATATTTAAATAAATGTCTCGAACTAAGAAACGACCGGTAAATGCGCGTTGTTAACATTTTCCAGTGATATTTGGATGTAGAAGTGATTACAGTATTCATTTGCCTTTGCAACATGCGTACACTTGAGCAAATGAATTGAACTTTCAGCGAAAAACCGTGATTTTTACCGGCATTTCGTAATTCCTTCGGTAAATGTTCCTCGGGCAGCCACCCAATCATCTGTTCCAAAATGCGATTTCTATTGTTGCGCCAATAGGAGAGTTTCCTGGCAATGGTGAGCACCTCTTCAGCATGGGCGCTATCGCTAGCCAATACATTCTCGGAGAATTTGTTCAGAAAATCCTTGGCCAATGGATTGCCGACGTTGTAAGCGGCGCCATCCTTATGGGGCAGCTTGAAGAACCAGCAGCACTCCTCGATTTCTGTATTGCACCATATACCGGACCCTAATGACCGCCAAATACTTCAGTTAGCTCAAGCCATCATGTAACTCGCGGATCTGGTACCTTTATACAGTCCTCCAGTTTGGTCCTTCTTCACTCGCGAGTAAAACTCCTTTTTCATTAAATAGTCATCGACATTTTTGGTTAGGTCGGACATAGCTTGGCTGCTGTCCCCGATGCGAGCTTTGTCGGTCAATAGGGGGCATTTTGCCAGCAGCTCCTTGAGCGGCAGTTGCCTCTCCAGATCCACATCGTCGGAAAAGGGCACTAGAAAGCCCCATCCCTTGTCTCGCAGATAGTGCAACGGGTAGCCTTCCCAGGTGAGCGACAGCAACTTTGGGGTGATTTTCATTGAAGTGCTCAGTAAATGGGGCCCGGGCACCCAATTGGGGGACGAATCTGGCTTGGTGCATAGTTTTCGGTACCTGGTTTCAATACCAAAAAATTATCCTTACTCCTCAAATTTTCAACAACTCACCAATTGGGATATCCTGGGAGCAAAGGCCTGACTTTCGGCAACAGTTCCGCCGTTTTCCACAGATTCTTGAACTTTTCCGCCAACTCATCGACTTCATCGTTTTCATCCTTGTTCTGGGGTTCAGTTGTGATCGTTTCCTTCTGACTTTTGCCCTTTGGGGCGATTTTAATCTTGATTTCTTTGGAATCCCAGTCCTCATCCCAAAGCCAGAGGTCCTTCTGGTACTTGGAGTCGTGCATGAGTTGGCAGGCCTGGTCAGATCGTCTGGCTAGCAGGATTTTGCTCTCTTTCTCCAGGTCTTCGAACGCGTATTCCGCATCGGTGATGTAGCGATTCCAGTGTTGGTTGATTGGCAGATAGGCGCTGCCCAGTTCGAGCATTCCAGCCAGAGTTACTGGATGAGGAAAGCGCTTGAGGAACATCGGGTAGAGGGCTTTGAGGACGTCGTAAGTGGCATTGATGTCCCCGGCGCAGTACTTCATCACGGTTTGGAAGGACTCTTGGATTTCTATAAGATTGCCATCGACGAAGAGATTTCGGATTTCTTTGTTCAACTTGGTTCCGCAGTAGAGATTGTGTACATCCGCCAGGTTGTTTAGCGAGCAGTTGTTCTTCCAGGAGTCGTCGTCTTCAGTAAAATTGGCTGACTTAGTGACGGCCCTTTGGTAGCTAGTCAGTCCACTCACACACACGTGCATGCTCATAGTGTCTAGAAACCGCGTTCCAGTCCGTTTTAGCCAATATTGCTCCTTAATTCGGGCTCTATCATAGGACACGTTGTGTCCTACAATCACCTTAGGCCTCAGCTGATTTTCGCTTAAATCGGCTTCAGTTTGCACCTCAGTGCTTTCCAATGGGATGAGACTATGTAGTTGATACTGGTAACCGGTGTTGGGCGCATAAGCCCCATTAACCAGTGTAGGGCTCACCCAGCCATACCAGGCCTTGTCCGACACCGCTGTGGCCAGAGTTGGGGCTTTGCCCACTTTCATGCACACTTCCACGTCGAACACCAACGCATCTTCCCAGGGAAAAGCCACTTTCTCCGGCTCCTGTCCAATCGCGTATCGCGTCCAGCCCTCCTGCATCAGCCACGTGCCAGGCTGCTTGGGAATTCCACTCAACAGCTGATCAAGCAGGGCTTTGTAAGGCTGCACGTGTTCATTGCCGATGTTCAAAAAATGCTCCTCAATGTTCTTGCCCTTGAGCGGCGGCACTTGGAAGTCAACCTCCTCTTGCAGATCGGTGTCTTCGCACTTTATTTGGTGTTTCTGCAGTTCCTGCCGGCAGGCCCGCACAATATCATCGTTGGAATCATCCTTAAACCCTTCCAAAAACACCTGGTCGTAGATGGGCTTGGAGAGCATTTGGATGCCCAACTTGTTCCGTCTCGGTACAGTTTGGCCGGCCAAAACAGTGCCTTGAGGGAATCGACGCTTTTTCGGAACGGGGATTTTTTTATCGGGATTTGGGGCGAACAGTTTCACTTGTGAGCGCGGCCGTATTTCGTAGTAGAGTCGTTTGGATATTAACCAATTGGTTAGGCGATATAGATGGTTTTTCCGCAAACCCAGTTTGCTGGCTGCCATCGGTAATCACAGGTTTAATATAAAATTTTTTTGGAAAACTCACCTGAATCGTATCGTGACGGAAATCGGAAACTTTTGTAAACAGCACACTGACCACATATAAAGACAAGTTGCAAGTGACGCTAACCTCTCTTTTCCTTCCGCTTAGGGCATTGTTTTAAATATGCGCATGCCCGTCCCTACCATTACATCGCAAACAGGCTTGCCAGGTCTACCGTTTTCGAGGTGGGTGCTGCCGCCCTACCGCTAAGCAATACGAATCTATCGTTGAAACGTTACGTTAAATACTTTCAAAAAATGCATTTATTTATTATATTAATATATTAAAATTATACAATTTGAGTTTTTTAGGAATTTCTGTAAGCCGTAAGTAAATAGTGGCTCCAATGAATTCTAAAAGGCCACCCAACAGGCAAATTCACATTTCGACAGTTTCGGTCTATTTGAGATCAATGAGACAATGGATTGCATCATTTCGAGCTGATGAGATTTACTCATAATAGTGCCATTAATAATGCATTTGTAGCGACCTAGAGCCACGCCTAAAGTTGGAAAACCGGCATCGGCGCAAAGCAGTCCGCCAACATTTAAGAAAGTAGGAAGACAAAGAACTAACCTAACTTACCGAAACACGAGGTAGCTCGCTCCTTACAGAGCACATGGTTTGTTACTCTTGCTTTTTACTAACAAATCTGTTGTAAAGTTATTAATTCTTAATTCGTTGTAACCTCGACGTAATATATACTGAATCTTATGAAAAAACGAACTTTGTTGTTTTGTGAGTTTATCAAAAACCCACATTTTTTAAATTTAGTTGCAGAGAAGGATTTTCAAAAACTTGAAAAACGAATGGAGAATCCTTAGAAACTCTGATTTTCGCGAGATGAAGACGAAATCTCAATAACATTCTTTTGGCTAAATGTACAAGCTGAGCAATATCCAGATGGCACTATGGTGTATCCTGTGCTCGCCAAGTTTGCATCATTCCTCTGCAGATGCAGAAAAGAAGTTTTTGCAAATTAATTTGTTGAAAAGGACGCAGAGAAATCTATTATGCACCAATAGTATTGTTGGTCTAATGTATTCGAAAGAGTACATAGGTTGCATAGAATGCTTCAATTTAAAACTTGATAAAACGCTCTTGGAATATCGTAATAGTAACATGTACAAAAGGTCTGATAGCTTTTCTGACTCAGAACGAGTTATTTGAATCAATTGAAAAATAAGGCATGTTTTTTTTTTCAAGTTATATTTAAAAATATAATATTTTTGTCATAATTTATTTTTTAGTTAGGTAAAACTTATGTACAAAAGAATGATTAATTTTAATTGCTCGTTTTGGTAGCTATCTTCTCATTTGACAAGTTTCGACAGAGTAGTACAACTCGGTTATTTAATTTTAATATTATGTAAATTGAGTTATTAATAAGATATTTTGTTCAAAAGGCGATTTTTTTTCAAAAAACAGAAATTCAGGGACAATAACTTATCTACCGTTTTATTTTTAAATCTACCGTCTTTTTCCCATCCATTCTACCGCTTTCGAAGTTCTTCGTCTGGCGGTCAGTGTAATGTTTCAAAACAGATTTTGAAAATCTTTCGTTGTTTAGAAAAATTCCCCAGCATGGATTCAGCGAAACTGATCAAAGGTGGAATGTTTAGGGAAAGTTTCCCTTCAACGTCATGAGCAGGAGTAAGTTTACCTTTTTTATCTTAAAAGAGCTGGCTGGAAAGTTTCACATGCAGAGGCGCCCTTTGCGTATTTACTTTAATTATTGCAGGGTGATTTTTTGTTCGTAAGTGTAAAGGAATCAGGTTTGGTTCGTGATTTGAACTGGAGCACACTAAACGCATTGGAGACTGATGTAGAAGTCGTGCCGAGCACTTCGGGCACGGCACTGAATTATGAGCCAAAAATGCTGTTTTAGTTCTAGTTTCAAGTTTATTGGCTTCAAATTGTGTCATGCCCGAAGTGCTCGGCACAACTTCTATATCAGTCTCCCATGCGTTTGTTGTGCCATGGTTAGAGTTTAGTTTAAATTTTGTTATTTCTTCGTCGAACATTTAAATTCGTCAATTGCATTTAGTATAGTGCAGAGATCTATTTCTATGATATACAGGGTGGCCACTTTTTGAATATTTGTATGGGTAACTTCTACATTTTTAAAGATAGAGAATCCGTTAAATGGGCAAAATTGGGCAGAATCGGTTGCCTATTCATTACAGTTTTCAAAATTTAGGTACCCGACTTGGTACCTGAAATATCCTGAAAAGACTAGAAATCAACATTTTTTTAATTGTCGCTTATTACGTAAACTGCTTAACTTAGAAAAAAAGTTAAAACTGCCCTTAGTACAACTTGTTGCGTTGAATCCAATAAACTAGCACTCGTTATCATAGTCAACTTGATTTAAGAGATAAAAAATTAACTTATGGTTTTTTTAATGGTAATCATAGTTGGCTGTGAGCCTTTTAAAATCCTTATTTTTTTCTGAATTTGACGATATAATTGTTTGTATGCTTTTCTCCTTTTGTTACCGTAAAACTTCTGCGTCTAAAAACCTCTTCTTCTAAAAGTTCTACCAAAGACAATTTTAACTTTTTTTCTAATTTAAGCAGTTTTCGAATTATATGATAATTAAAAAAGTGTTGATTCCTTGCCTTTTCAAGATATTTCAGGAACCAAGTCGGGTACCTAAATTTTGAAAACGGTGATGAATAGRCAATCGAATTCTGCCCAATTTTGCCCATTTAACGGATTCTCTATYTTTAAAAATGTAGAAGTTACCCATACAAAGATTCAGAAAATGGCCACCCTGTATATTATAAATCAAGATTTTTTTATACCAAAATTAGTTCTGCGCGCATATTTCATTGAAAAAATCCTCGAACGAATATGTGCGTACTTAAGCATGTGCGCACACACACGCACATTGGCCTTAATCCACACATGACTTAACTCTTCCATTTGAGGGGCATTTGCGCCCCACGTTACAAGTAAAATAATGTGAAAAAAAAATTGGGATTTGAAATGTCGCCTGGCACTTAAAATGTGATTTTTAATCGAGCATTTGTCCTGCAACTAATCTTTCGCAAGCAAACACGCGCAGTTTGCCAAACAGGCTCAGGTTGAGGGGCTGGATGCATCCCGGATTAGCGTACACCAGTTGCAAAATGTGAAATTTTAATGCAGTTTAATGAAAGGAAGAACAGGAAAATATTAAAATTTTGGATGTAAAAATTCCGATTAGGTGCTCCAAGTATGGAGGATTTTACAAAATTGCAAAATTGCTTAATGTGGTGCCATAAATATGATAAAAATGCAATGCAAATGTTTTGATTTAAATTAATTGGATTTTTTCGAAAAAATTTAAAAGTTAGTGCAGTTGAAACACGTTCTTGATGTTTGGCCCTAGGGTATCGACATTCAATTACACGGAAATAGAACTTTCGAATAATTAAACTGCTCTTATTTTTTATTTCACAAAATCTTATAAAGTTCCCTTTGGTGGTAGTAGGAAATTTAAAAAATGTAGAAATTAATACAAAATTTGACGCCGTATACACAAAGTGTGAATAATTTAAATGTTCACAATTATAAACCGATCAACCTTGCCATATAAGACAAACGAGTTTATGGAAAATAGAGGAAAAGTTTTGCATTGGAATGATAAATTATTTGCCAAGTCAACTGAAAAAGTTCACTTCTAGACTAGCTACCTTTGAAATAATAATTGAGTCTTTGAGGATCGAACTCCGCTTTAATTGGAGGCTCAAAATATTTTTTGGAGAGGATTAAAGAGAAAGTATATATCTCAAGCTCTTTATGGTTTGAAGATACTTATTTGAGTGTTAGGAAGAAAGAGAGACAAGTATATATCTATGTATATTTTAAGATTAAGATTCTTTGCTTTTCCGACATGTTGGGGTGAAGTGCTAATAAGTCAACACCCTCCGGAAATGTAATTTTTTAACATGCAGACTTGGGTGAATTTTGCGTAAAACCAGCGCGCAAAATCTATTGCTTTAGACCAGGAAATGTCGGCGCGCGCTATACATTCGCCTATCGATAACCATGAAACGGCTCGGGGTTTCATTGAGCAATCCGCAAATAAAGTAAATATAAAAATGCTGCTCACACGTTTTCCTGTTTTCAGTTTATAAACATGACATGAACACGAACCCACTGGTGTTCGCATTTCTGTAGAAAATGCCGGTTGCGATTCACGTTACTTTTTAGTTTTCGAACATGTTGAACGTATGCTACTTGCTTCTCGGCATCGCTGCGTTCCTTTTGATTTTGTACTTCTTTTTCGAGTTGCATTATTTTTTTCGCGCCTTACTGTGCTTGATCAGTGGCAGATTTTTCAAGAAACGATGCCACATTTTGGATGAAACCACCATCAAAGGTAAGTTGATTCAAATGGGGGATTGGGCTTTAAATATTGCGACACTCGTAAAATTTTGTGGCTTTCCAGAGTAATGGGCTGGAAATATGCCAATTTATTATTTTTCCAACTTGCCAACTAAGCACGTTTTATTGAATCTCCAATTACGCAGACCACCAAACGATGTATATGTAGATTGTATGTCAAATAAATGTAATAAAAGTCGCTAATGGCATGGCCCAAATCACGTCTTTATCACGTCTGAACGTCATGCGTTTGCTTCATGCATTCGAAGTGAGTTAATTAACAAAAGTGTTTTTCATTGTTCAGGTCCAAAATAAAGATGAACATCTCTTTGGAAAGTCGTTAATTTTTCGGGAACTTAAATTCAATTTCAACGCCTGTCATTTCGCAGACAACCAAACGACTAGATTAAACGTCCAAAAATAACTGACTTCTCCAATGTCACGTCTTTATTACGTCTCCCTGTCACCTCTTTGGAAGTTAGGAATTATTGATAAGATCTTTTTGGCAAAAGATGGAGTTTCAATTAATTGACTATCAAAAAAGTTATTAGGACTGTTTCGATATTTTCACCCGTTTCGGAGATGATGTTTGAGAAAATTTTCAGATGCCTAAAAATGGGCGAAGCCCTGCTTGCATTTCGACACCCGTCAATAGGCTTTTGGCCCGAATCGAAATTTAGGCTTGCGCGAAGTTTCAGCTCGATATCTTGAAAAATTGGCTGTCAGAATTGAATAATTTTATACGAAAAAATGTTTTCAGTGACATTTAAATAACGTCTTTATTTTGACATTAGTTCGCTTGCTTCAATTTACGTAGATTAGACGTCATGATGATGACCAAATGTGAAAAATCTACGTCGTCATAAATTTGGTTGCCTGAAGCGGTCGACCAGAAGTAGCAATTAATAATCGCATACTTAAAAACCTCCAAGTATCATCTGCATATTTTTTTTTGGATGTAATTAATTGTTTAGTCCTTGTAATAAAAAAATGCTTGGAAGATTTTGCCCCAAAACTGGCCAAACGAGGTTCGGGGATCCGACCGCTTTGTCCTTTGACTTGACCAGAACGTAGAAGATGCTGTTGAAAGGACAATGAAAGCATACAAATGCCCGTTTAAAAAGTGAATTAAGCTTTGCGGAAACAGCCTTCGAATTCTTTTGCCATTTTTCATCCGGGTTATTTTTCTCTGCAATATGACTGACCTTCATGGCCTACGGGTGTGCGATTTCGACGGAAAAATCACTCACATAAACGGTAATTAACCGCATATGTAAGTATGCAAATGTATTCACATTGAAACTGGGCTACTTGGAACAACATTTGGCTGTTATATAATGTGCACGGTGTTTGGGCAATCGGTTTAACCGTGCATTTTATGGCACAATTGAAATTGCCATTAAACATTCCTAGATGGATGTGCCAAAGCAAATAAAAGCCAAGATCAGCAGTTTGATGGGGGTTTTTCTTTGTCAAAAAAAAATGTTTGATGGCTGCGGACGCGGTAATTACGGAATATTTGGTAATTAGTCGAGCATCATCAAGGAAATGAAGGTGAAATTATTGGAAACCTCTTTTTTTTTATGTAAGAGCGTGGTCGAGGACGGTTGCGTTCATATAACCCAAATAAATCGATTAATATTTAAAGAGCATGTGAAAAATTTTTGGTCGCCGAACCAACCCAAGCCCTCATTGAACCGTATGAAATGGTAAAAAACGATTTTTTCAGGTGTTTGCCTGTCCAATGATGTGGATTCGCTGCTGGATCACATGAACAATGCCCGCTATGTGCGAGAGCTGGATTTTGCAAAAATCGACTTTTACGAGCGCACCGGCCTCTACAGCAAATTGGTGGCCAAAGGGGGCTCACTGTTTGCGGGAGCCACCACTATTCGATACAGGAGATTTATAAAAATATTTACCAAGTATCGCATCACTACACAGGTAATTTTTGATTCAAAACGGTTTTTCTAAATCTTGGTTCATTGTTTATGAGATCGAAATAAATTAAAACCGTTCGATTGTGCGAGATAATTAACAGTTGATTCTTTCCGAATCGGTGCACGCCAATGGTTTTTCGGTAAACAAAAATTATTCTCTAAATCTACACGCAGTTGGGGACAAAAAAGCTTTTTTGGGTAAACATCATTTTTGTATACAACGGCTGAGAATAGAGCTTTTGACAAAGAGCACCTTTTTTGTGTAGGAAACCTCCAGCTCGTAAAGTCTGCTTTCAAATCGATTTTATCGCCAGTGCCGTAGAAGTTCGGACAAAATTCACGTCTAACCCCCTAATCTCCGCCACTGACGCAAAATAATGCGTGTTACGTGAAATGTGTGAAAAGCCTATGAAAACTCATCCAAGTGCCTGAATATTACTAGATACATTAAATCGTTCGTTAACTAGTTTGGCAATTAAGACAAATTTGACAGTTAGTAAAACAATTTGGTCAAAAAAAAAAAAAAATCCCTAAAACGGCTGAGAATAGAGCTTTTTACAAAGACCAAGTTTTTAGGTAGAGAACCTCAACACTTCACGATCGACTTTCAAATTGCAACTATCGCCAGTGGCGTGGGAGTTATGGGCAAAATAAACCTCTTTCAAACGATTTGAAAATACGTTTTTTTAGTTCAAAAAATATTATTTTTTTTTATAACCGCTGAGAATAGAGTTTTTTTTTTATCAAGAGCACGTTTATGTATAAAAAACAGTCAGTTATGGTTAGTTATAATACAGTATAGTCAGCCTACTGGAATACACTTTCAATTTGCCATTTACCTCAGAAGCCTAGAAGATAAAAGCAAATAAACTCAAATTAAGCCAAATCTACGCCACTGATACAACAAAAAATCTGCCGTCAAGCTCGTAAGATTGCGATAAGCAATGGTAAATGTGTACAAAATATTTCATATGTGTAGCTCAACTAGTTTCTGAATTATAAACAAAACTGCAAAAAACCTCGTCCACTGTATATGTCCTGTTTTTCGTACAGAACTTTTTCAAATTACAAAACGCTTATAAAGTTTGGCTCACCCGGTATATAACGGCCCACACTAGCGCAAGTTTGGCTTAAATTGAATGCAATACCAGCGCGAAAGTCAATCAACATCCATCCAAATGCGGACTTTACTACCAACGACCAAACGCTTTTTTGTTCAAAAAATGCCATTTTCTCTAAAAGGGCTGCCATTAGCGTTTTTACCAAGAGCATCTTTTTTGTGCAGAAAACCTTGGGCTTTCAAAATATACTCTCAAATCGCATTTTGCCCCCGCGGCGTAGAAGTTACGAGCAAACTACAAGGTACTAGAAGAAATTTCTCTTCACCCTCATACAGTAGCAATAACTATCGGAAAAATGTATGCAAAAGTCAAGAGTTTAGCCCAACTAATTTGTGAAATCTGGGCAAAAAACTGGAAAAAATCTTGCCCACTTTGTATTTGATATTTTATGCAGGTTTAAAACGCTAGGAAAGTTTTATACGTTGGATCACCCGGTAGAAACCTGAACTGAAGTTGATTTATCTAAAATTAAACAGAATACAAGCGCGAAAACACAAGCAAAAACTATCCAAGTGCGAATATTTCTAATTAAACGCGTTCACTCTATAAAACGAGTGCATTGAACAACGGGGGTGTTACGAGTAATTTCGCTGAAACGCACAGTTTTTGATTTCAAAATAAAAACACGATTTTTTTTCTCTTCCCGTAAACTCTCGCAATTTTTTAATTTCTTAAAATCATCAGTAGATTTTTATACGTTTTTCGTCATCAGAATGGGGCTTTTAAATGAATCATTCGTCGTATTGCGAAATCAAATCAAAGCAATTTTTTTAAATTTTCGTCTTGAAAAATTTTTGCTTGCAATTGAATACTTTGGGGGCTAACCGAGAGTTCAGCATTCGCCTGAAAAAAAAACCGAAGCGTGATAAAAACATACATGTATTTGTACGACAATGTAAGTACCTGAAATATTTTGTGCAAATGCCGTAAATATTCGGACTTTGCTTTTGGTGTGAACTTATCTCTGACGATGCAAGCCACTCGTGAGGGCGAAACGTTAAGATGAAATTATTTTCCCCCGCAAGTAGCTGTTTTGGCAGAGTGGCAATCTGGTTTATTTTTTGGACAGAAGAACCAGTTTTGTTGATGCCCACAATTAGCCTGGTCTCGGTTTTATCATTTGTATAAAGGCGTTTTTTCAAGGATATTTGGGGCACGAAAACCGCGGCACTTTTTCCATCAACATGTCAGATTTTTTTGCCAGATTTAAATTATCCACGAAATGCGCTAATCGTTTCTTGGGCAGTAAGAACAATATTAATTTGTTTAATTAATTTTAATTTTTGCAATTTTGCAGACACGAAGTGTTTTTAAGCCACTTTTTCAATGTAGTTCTTGTAATTAATATTTTAATTGGATAGCTATCAATAGAACACATTTATTTCAATATTAATTTTTTTGCCGGTCGTTCGTTTTAATTGATTGAATTTGCTGATTCACATACATTTAGTTTATTTGCATCAATTATGTTAATGCGAATAACATTTATAAACGATGCTGCTTTCACGTATATTTTTTAATCGTTTTTGTGTTTGCTACTATGACAAGATTTGATTGATCAAAGAACGCACAAAAGCCTGTCGACGTTTCTTCAATTTTATTTATAGGCAATAAAAATTGGCTTGTTTTTACGTCGGTCCAAATTCCGTTATAGAAACCAACAGTCCAAATTGTACATTATCAAATGAGTTAGTATTTTGCAATCAACGCTTGAAACTGATGAGTTTTTCAGCGATTTAGGCGGGGTTGTGGAAAAGATGTTCTTTCTGGGGGCTTAAAAGCCCAAAATATTGCGTAAATACGCACGTATAACCGGCGATTTAGCGCTTATAGGCCGGCCAGTTTGACTGTAATTACATTGGGTTGTCAGAAAAAAGGCCCACTATACCACAATCCCGGTGTTCAAGTTATCACAACTCGCTCTACACACGGTGAGAGGCTCCGCTTGAATGAAAAAGTGAGGTTTATTGTAGCTATTTCTTGAAACTGAGGTGTTTCTGACGTTTCACAAGAACGAGTGGCTTACATCTTCAGATGTGTGTCGCCCACATTCGTGCTTGCGAAAACCCGCAAGTTTAATTTCCTTCATTGTTAAAATAATGAATCCCATCACTTTCTGTGTCATCTGGACCAATTGAAACACTTGGCAAATGCAAAGCAAAATAATTCCCGTTTTTAATTTTTTTTAGGTGATCTACTGGGACAATCAAAACATTTTTATCGAGCACCGATTCATCACGAATCGTAGTTTTGTGAACGCAATCGCCTTGTGCCGTATCAGGCTGGTGAATGTGGATGCCGACGAATTTATGAAAGACATGATGTTAAATCTGCCGAAACAGGTGGCCGATGTGGAACCCGCCCGCAAGCAGAAACCGACCATGCCGCCCGAACTGGAAAAGTGGATGGAAAGCAACCAGATTTCCAGTCTACGCCTGAGAGAGATGGATAAGATTGAAAACAGTGTCGAAGTGTGCAATGTTTGAGTGCCTGCGGCGCCGCTGCAGCCATACATTTAATTATACAGTAGTAATAGGTGAATACAGTTTAGTGGCCAGTCTGGATCTGGGTTTATTTTCCCTTAAACAATCAAACCCAGCTAGTGATTCGAGAGGTTTATATTATATATAGCAAAAAAAACCATAGTAGAACAAGCAAAATACCTAATTACACCAGGGATAGTCGTCCTTTTTATACGGAGTCAAAGGCAAATCGTAGATAAAAGGAAACAGCGCCTTAGTGGTGGTGGGGTTGCTAATTTCAAAAAACTCCTCGTCGAAAAAGCGGGGCAAAAACATCACCCCCATTTCGTATGATCTGATGTAACACCCCCCATCCTTCTGAATGTTGTTGCCCCAGGCTGACTTTGATAGATTGGCACTAGTTAGGAGAAAGTAGGCCAGTTTGTCCAGGCCCGGGGACACTCGGCAGTAGGACTTTATGTGGGGCATCGCCCTGGTTCGGTGTCTGGCATCAGCAATCCATTGACTAAAACACGTTAACGTCAAGTGATGATTCTCGGGTTTTATCATCAATTTTCCTTTGACGGAACGTTGCTAGTGAACGTTCCGTTAAGAATTAAGATTTGCTTGCCCTGAATTGACTTACTGCATATAAGTTTGCAACCAGCGCTGCTTCTCATTGGTGGCTTTGGAATAAGGCAGACATCCGCCGCTTTCCAGCCCGAAATACCCATGGGCCACGTTCGATACACTTGGATACACCAAGCTAATGGTGGCCTGAGAATTGCCGGGTAACGGGCTCTGCTTATGGCTGGCTAAGCTTCTCAGCAACGAGCCCCTCAGCCACTCAGCGGCAGTTTTGCCAATTGAACCTGCCCCCATCCAGTTTCATTAAAGGATTAACTTTTACTAGCACTGAAACTCTACCTATGCTAGATGCTTGCGCCAGAATGCCCCATGACAAAGGGCCTTCGCTTTGGGCAGTCGTTTTGGCAGGAAGGACGCAGTGTTGACTCAGCAAATCGCCTACCCGATGCAAGTGGCTTCCGTTTTGCTTCGCGTAGTGCTTGCCGGGTGCTGAATACACCAAAGCCACCCTGCAACTCGGGGTGTAAACCTTGCCAATAGCGGCGCTTTGGACTCACTTGACTTCCCCAAAGTCAGCATTTGCCACGTATTTCACCCAGTCCCTTAAAATGGGGAGTTGATAGGAGCGTAGATAGTCCAACAAATGGCCTTTGAAGCCTGTTATTGCTTCTCCATCGCGCTCCGCGCTGTTGCTGGGCAGCTTTGCCAATCTGGGGCTAATCCATAGTCTGACAATAATGACTTATAGATAGATAGATGTCTTAAAGCCTCCAATAGTGCGCTCTCACCCTTGATTGTAATGATTCCAGTCTTCATAGTATAAATTTGCGGTGGAAACCACCACCCGTATAGACTCGTCCTCGTAGGCATAAATTCCCAGTTTACTGTAAACAAACAATTTTTTTTTAGTTAAGCGCGTACTGAGGCATTGGAAGGCTTACGTGTGATGGCACCCAAATGGGTCCTTCATTTTCACAAAATGGTGCTTCACATTCGGGCAAAACCGCCGCATGTATTCCACCATATCAGGCCAGTCGTCCCCATACAGGATTGTTAAAGGTTTGTTACTAAAACGGCTTGTATTAGTTACTGATTAATCAAAATGGCTTTGAGAGCTCTAACTCTTGTTCGCGCGCTTTGTACTGCTTGACAAGCCAACCGATATCAATCATGAAGTTGATCTGTAAGGACTCCTTCAGGGGCCCCAAGCTGGGGCAAAGCAGGTCTGAAAGGCGCGTTTAGCAATCTGAAATTGTTAGGGCTTGGGCAATGTACCTGTGAAAGTGACACTGTTTGGGGCTGTCAAAGTGTGTTGGCTCTTGGGAATGGTTGTGAAAAATAGGTTGTAAGGGGCGTTTTTCTGCAGTTTGTCCAGCATTGAGCCAACACTACACTGAGTGTTGTCGACTGCAGTTTTTCCGCAAATTTTCCCCGAGGAGCCACTGCAAGAGGTTGCCTGGGGTTTATGTTCTTTCCTGTTCTGTGTACTAGTGGTTGTTTTAGTCTCAGGCGCTTCACTGGACTTTCGGGCTTGCAAAATCGGCCTCAAAATCTCCAATTGTTCCAGATAGTTCTCCTTAGTCTGAGGCATGTTTTCTGGTATGGTCACCAAATCGCCCATTTCTATCAGGTTGTTCACTAAAAATCCCTGGAATTAGTGCCACTAAATCAGCCAACAATGGGCTACCTAACTCACGAAAGGGATGCTCAAACTGCTTGAAATGATGGGGGTTCTTGCGGTAACATCTCTCCTTATGGGGACACTCTTCTAGCTTTTGCCGTTTTTTCGGACCATCTACGCTGATTTCATTAATCCAAGGATTCATCAAAAGGCTAAACTGCATGGCTTACCTGACTCTGGTGCCTTTCTTTTCAAATACGCTTCCATTATTTGAATCTCAGCGATTTTTGATTGAGTCCCAAACATTTGGGGATTTGGTCAAAAGTCTTCGTCTTTATCTATGGTTATCGCCATAGAGTAAGTCAAATAAGTCAAAAATTATTTTACTTTCTCTATGGTTATCGCCTATCGGTATCCCTTATATTTCCCTATGCGCGGATCTTGACAGCTCTAGCCCCGGTGAATGGCGCGCAGTTTGAAAATTTATATTTAGCGCGGTGAAGTATTTTTGTACATCAAATTGACGGAGCGTATTTAAATAAATTGCATTAGGTTTCCTAAATAGTTTGATAAGAGAATTTTTAAGTCCGTGATTGCCTGTTGCAACATTCCCCAAAATGTGTTGATTGTTTCAAATGGAAAAGGAAAATCAAGAAAGATTTAAAACATTTTGGGGGTGCTTTTTATGAAGAAAGGTTTTTTGAGTACCTAATAAAAGTAACGAAGATTTTAAATAAATTTTAAGTGTACGTATTTAGTTAAATGTACAGCCTACAAGCGCTAAATCGCCGGTTAAACGGTTGTATTTGAGCCATGTTTCTAACTAATGTTTCTTGAAAAACTTCTTCACCTAAAAACCCGAAAAACTCCCTAGTTTCGAGGAACATCACAAACCTGTATCCCTTTTTGCATAGAAAATGTTCCCCCTATGTTTTCCTTATAGGGAATTGAACAAACATTTCACCGATAGTCCACATAATATCGCATTTTCAAAGTTTCGAATTTCTACAGCTTCTCTTTATAAGGAAGAAAATCACTGCAAGGTTCAATTTTGGTCGTTTAATTAACTACCATTCGAAAAAAGACAACCAGAATAGAGAAAACGTTAAAGCCATTCTGGATGTAATTTATAGCGCTTCTGCAGCAGTCTGGTAACGATCGCATTGTGTAGATTAAGCTGAGCCATTCTTTTGCCATGATCGTTTCTGTCATCACAAGATAAGATTTCCGATCTTTTCTCCATTATTTGCCAAATGGCTTTTTAATGCCCCCAATGTGGTCGGTTTGATTGATCGCTTCTGTTATATTACCGGCAATCGATTCTCAACGTCGTCCATATGCACCGACTTTCTGGCCGAATAATTTTTTTATTGGGGTTTTCACCTAAACAGAACGGGGGCCCTTGTAAAAACCTGGAATCTTCTACCTTTGAATCCATACTGGATCTAATATATTCCCGAGAGTTTGCGTCGTGACGCCCGCGAATTTTGGCCCTTTCAGTGCCGATCTATTCGTCGCGACGCTGGCAGCTGCGACGCTCCAACTTCCCCAACATTGCGGACAAGGTCGTTTCCCCTTACATCAATAGCATCCCATACTAACTTGTAGCATCCCCCAAAGTTCAACCGCGGACCTTTCTCGCGTTGTTTGTGCAGTGTCTCACTTGAGTGTTGATCAAGTCATCAGAATGTAAGTGGACAATTTCTCGATTCTTTGATTGAGCAACATTTGGGCCCTAAAGCTCCTGTTGCTGCTGGATCGGGGCGATTGCGAGTGAACGGGAAATCGACAATCCCGAGCTTTTTGGTCGAATTGTGGCTTTTAATGCCGAAGGCAAATCGCATTGAGTCAAGACCACTCTTAAAATAGATTGCCACGAGTTTAGGAAAAATCGCAGAAACACAGTTCCGCTTGGTACATTAGGCGTAGTAGAACAGTGCGGCATTCCTGCGATACTATGAAGATTGGATTTGCTTTGGATCGCCTCACTTGCACTCCTGGATAGCGTGGAAAGCTTTAATTGAAGTCATCTGGTCTCCTGCTGTTTTTTCGATAATTTCAACAGAACCGAGCAGTGATTCAGCTTGCAGGATCGGTGAACATGTGCAGGGTGGAATGAGCCAACAGAGCGGATTTTGTCCTCACTTTGATCATGTATTTGTTATGAGAGGTAAGTGCATAAGTTAAGTGGTAGCTAGATTGTAAATTGCCAACAATAATAAATTCAGTTACTAAAAACTATGTGAAATAAATCTAGATAGAATTGTTCCCAGTATAAATTAGTTATCTTCAAACAAATAAACGCGGTTTCTAAAAAAAATTACCATCCAGACATTATCACAGCTTTAGGACCCGCAAAGTTTCTGCAAATTTCTGGAAATTTCATTGAAATTTCGCCATATTTTTATGCTTATATAGTGTCTTTAAAAATGAAGGAAACCAAAGAACCGCACGACTCTCTTTAAAAAATGATGACTTCTAATCTAGAGAAAGTAGCTACTTGACATTTCAGCAGTTCAAAAATTTATTCAGATTGCATCTGATTCTGACTTTTTGCAAATTTTTAAAGTCTTGTTCCAAAAGTGCAAGTTTTCTAACGATACGCCCATTTTTACAATTTCGTATTTTCCACATTGAACCAGCAAACACCTTGGAATGTTCACCATCTATATAAAACACTTGGATCTAAATCCGTTCACAAGTGCATTAAAATCGTGCTTAATGCTTCTTTTTGGATGTTTATAAAGCTCGATTAAAAATGAACATTCACACAACCGCAACGTTTTCTTCAAAAAATCTTAACGGCCAAACAAGAGTAAGTAGCGATTTGAAATTTCARCAGTCTCTAGAAGACACGCGACTATAAATGCGAAAAAATGTTCCTCCAATCGCATCAGATTCKTCTTTTTTTATGCAATTTTTATTTAATATTTTGTGTTTGGCTYGAATAATSCGGTTTTCCTAGTAACATTTCCATCAAAATCAATAAGTAATACTTTAGTTTAACTTTACCATGCAAATTYCCGATATTWAAATTAAAATTGTGCCAAAGCCGACCCTGTCGTTTAAGCTCTGATGTATTGGGGGTTGCCAGTCAGACGCCCGGAATATGTGCGGAGAGGGCGGCGGGATAGCACAGAGTAGCACTCAGGGCAATTTATTTGCTAAACCTTAGTCTGATTTAGTGGGTTCAACCACAGTAGTTATTAACAAAGAAACATATTAAACATGCGAATTGAAGGCTCTATTGCGTTTTTAATTTCACAAATCCACGAAATTTTAAAATATTATTTTGAGATTCCAATGCCTTCTGTTGTCGTCAAACAAAAAGACACTCACTGGGACTCTACAATGAAAACGTTTTTGGCAAATAAGCTTCAATTGATGAAAATCAAATTAGACTTTTTATAATTACACTAAAAAATTATTTTAATAGCGCCTCGTAGCGAAATGTGAAAGATCCTAAACTTTTTTGGAGACACTTTGAGATGGAAGTCAAAAACTTTGATGTTAAAATAATCAATTTTCAACATGACGATCATTTTCAAATCAAAAAAGTTGAAAACCAAACCAACAGTTAAACGCCACCACGTCTGGCTGTCGTTTCTCTGAGTCTCAGTTATATATAAATGTCAGTCAAATTATCCCCCTTTGAGCCGGATTGACGGATCGAAAGCGGCTAATTCGTCTTCAGGCCGCACATAAATTTAACGCTTGTCAGTGTGTTCGGTCCGTTTCCCAATTTGTATGCCCGTAGATTTTACAGTCCCTTTTAGGGCGCCCGAGATTGATTTCGCCTCGTTTATTATCATTTTGTTGCCTGTCTGCGCGATTTCAAGTAGACCATTTTAAAAGGGCCGACAGCAAACCTTTTGTTTGCTCAACACACCGAAAATAGACGTCATTGTTTCCGATCCGGTTTGCGCGCCTTGTTTAGATTCAACTGCGGAAAAATACAGTCATTAAACATGTCAAGCCACCTAAAAAATCTAGGTCAGTTGAACAAAATCTTGAATCATAAATACTGTCACTGAGCTGTCAACATTGAAGCGACTCTATTGGCCTCAACCTGATTGATTACTTACTTAAACCACTTGACAGTGACATTTAATGTTAAAGAGTTTATTTAAATGGGAAAATCGATTATTCAAGTGCTTGCCATCGCCTAAAGTGAACAATTCCGGTCCAAGAGTGTGTCAGTCATTTCTATTCAAATAGACGCCCTCATTTGCGGGGCTTTATTTGCGAAGGGCTCTTTGCCTCGGAACAAGTTGAGGGATTTTCTCGCCCTCTCGCCTCGCTCGTATTTTTTCAGCTTGTCTTTAAATGCCCACATTTCTTCTTCAATCTGCATTTCGCAATGTTTCGGTTATTTGAATTGCTACTTGGCGTCCAATATAATATAATGGAGTACTGTAAATTATTGCTTTCCACTTATGAAATGTATATGGTGTTTAACTTTGAAGCAAATCCAGCTACAGGAAGAATGATCTACTTTTTCGTTCAGTTGAAGGTTTCAACTATTTTTTATTCCATTTGCTTGCCGATTTTAAGAATTCTGCGCGCTTCATTGATTTGTTTCCTTCACGACTACTTCAAATGTGTCTATCTCCTTAATATAACCCTAGATAATTTCCTTATTCTCGGGTTATTATTTTTTCGATTTCACTGACATTCCGATTAAGCGTGAAATGTAACCACCCGGAATAGTTTCGACTTTCGAGTTTGGTCGAACATTTGCCAAAGCCGGCCCTGCTTTATTTGGCCCAGGTGCATTTGGGGTTGCCTGCCAACCGCAGAAAATAATTGCAGAAGGGGCGGGGACTTGTTCAGAGCGGTACTCAGGCGAAGATTAATGCCCTTCGCCTCTTCCAGAGTTATGGCCAAAAGAATAATATTCAATGCGTCAGATGAATAATTTATCGATTTATAAGTGTCTTAAGTCTCTAAAACGACTTCAAAATTTTGGATTGACAGGATTTTTACTTATGCACGATTTTATTTTGCCGTTTTCTAGACCTATCGTTTTAGGATACTAAATTAATTCTAAAATAGTAGTCTTCGATACAAGGGCGAAAAGTGTCGTTTTTTGAACGACGACGGCGTTTAATAGGTAAATTAATAGTCAGGAGTTCGAAAAACGGATTTTTGCCCTCATATCGAACAACATTTTTTCTTCGAATGAAAGACATAATACGAGTCATAAATTATAATAAATAAGAATCGCTAAAAATAAAAGGCATCAACTTGATATTTTAAGTTTGATGTCAATGCTATTTTTGAAATTGTGACGTTTTGACGTTTGTAATTTTACAAAAGCCTACTTTTGTCAGCATATACAAGTGAAACAATGAGTGTTGAAAATGCAAGTGCTGCTTTCACGGTATGGTGTTTGTATGAGTTGCATATTTTGCATGAAATTAGCGCTATTTAAAAAAAATCGTGTGTTGCTTTAAGTAAACTTTAAATTAAGATCAGTAGTTGTCGATAAACCTACCTAATTAATTAAAAAATCCTCTCGGTTACTTTTTAATAAAAATAATTTAAAAAATATAATGACAGTGACAGGTTCAATTTGTCACATTTACTTTTGCCAAAGACAAGCTTGTCTTGTCAAACTTGTCTCTGCTTTTGCGCACATTTGCGTAAAAGTTAAACAAATGAACAGTAACAAAAAGTGCTTATGATTCTTCTTCTTTATGATCATCGCTTCTGACCGAAAAATGGCAGTTTTAGATGCATTCGAATAAAAATCATTATTTTTATCAAATGAATTTAAAAGTGCAATTGCGAACTGACACAGTGCAGGACTTCAAAATTTCCACAATTTTATTTTACAAAGTTGGACTATCAGTAACATGACTGAAAATTTCAAACTTATTATCGCAAAATATAAAATTCGCTGCTGTTGTCCGAACTAAGGCAAATCGATGATGGAAAGCCACTTAAAATATTAATTGAGCAATCTTGGAAATTCGCTCCGAGCTTGCACTCATAAGACGGCCAAAATTACCAAAGCAAATAAACAATATTTGGTAATTTGGCAAGCCACTCGAATAATGCCTTTAATTTATTAGCAAAACATTTACGTTACGGTAAATATTTTAGGTGAAATGGAGGTATTGCGTGGAGCCATTGACTGGCTGCGTTTCTGAGCCCTGCATGAACAATGGAAAACCGATGGTTTTTTTAATTGCAGGTGAAGGAAGTGCGTGATGGCTGGGGAGCCAAATGGCTCATCACAACAGGAAAGCAATATCACCAGTACTACAGCAAAATCGATCCTCAGCAGCAGTACGACTGACCCGAGGGAATACTACAAGACCTACGATGTTATGACCGGGGTTCGCATCGCTGCCACTCTGGGCAGTTTCTTCGGCCTGATGGTACTTCTCGTGTTATATAAATCAAAATCCAAGGTACCATTTTTTTGCACCGTCATATAGAAAATTTTCCATACTTCCGCTAATTGTAACAATTTAAAAACATCAAATTGCCGCCTGGATCGGTGGACGAGTAATAGAGAAAGAACAATGATTGCGTCACTACCAAACAGATTGGGACATACTGTACATGATTAAATGCGATACATCAGTTTACATTGGGTGGAAGTTTGGAAACTTTGCCCATTTGCAGCCAAATTGGGTCTTGCAGGGTCGATATTTGAGCGGCAAACTTTGAGTCATGAATTTCTTTGCCATTAAACTTTGCCGCACAAAAACACAATTTCAATCCGGGGCCGACAGTGATCTATCGACTGTTTAAAGTCGTCGAAATAATAAACTTGCCTGCCGACAACATGGAAATGTGGAAAAATTCCTAAAGATCTCTGTTGTTCGGACGCAAATTTCGATTTCTTCGAATGCGTATTCGAAGTGTATTTACTTAAAACGTGGGAGGCAGAACTAATGGATTTTACTTAATCCAGACGTTTGAATAAACGCAGCCTTTTGATCTCGGGTGATATTGATTGATATTTCGCAACTATTTGCAGACTGAAAAGGCACTCGAAGATCCCAATTTTACGGCAGCTGCCGTTGCCGAAGTGGAGGAGGAAGAACGCCAAATCCAGCTAGCTCTAGAAGCGAACGCCTACGAACAACTGAATCCCAATCCTAGACGATCCAGTCGCAAGTCTTTGGATATGTCAATGGGATCGCAAGCACGAAGAACTTCCAGACGATTTTCATCTGTAGCAGGCAAGTAACTGACTTGATGTAAAAACAGAAAACAAGCCTGTTTTTTACATTTCAAGCATCCTCAGGGCCAATGCGACGCATTTATTTTTGTGTGCTGTACCGAGATAAAAAAAAGGGTTGAGAATCACTGCCAAAACTGTTTAAAAAGCGAAAGGTTGGTTATTTTTCGCGAAATCCTAAAGTTTTGAAAATTTGGCTTCAGGATACAGTAGTCTAATAGAGCCGTCATTGAAGGCAAGCCTCCGATTGCCCTGCTTTATCGATGAGGATTCGCTCCCTGAGGACGGCGCCTCAATCTACGACGAGGTTTACTTCAATAGGTGCCTATTTTAACGAAAAAATCAGTTCGCTCAGAAGATTGAGCGTGGTTTTGGTGTGTTTTAGCAATCTAGACGTGCCAAGACGTCCCAGTAACATCACGTGCTCTTCCTCAGGCAGCTCCTACTTGGAGAGGCGCGACTCTGCTGTGACTTTGGGCATTCCGGTGCTGCCAGCCCACAAGTACAAATCATCGCGCCGACAATCCTCTCCAGTTCCGGAAATCTACGACTTTTACTATCCCATCGACATTCTAGTCACGCAGCCAACCCCTGGGGGCTCGCCCTGCGGCAGCGATCGCGCCCTTTACGACCGCGCTGTCGATCAACCGAATTTAAAGCCCCGTTTGGCCCCGCTGGCTTCCATTAGCAGCTGCAATAGTTCTTTAGGTAACTATTCCATTACCCATCTTGGATTGGGGTCCGAAAAACAGACTTGGGATGTTCTAGGTACGGACTATCCAGAAGAGTGCGAGGGTCTCTCGTATGTTTGCGATACGTATCCGGACGAGGATGAAAACACGGAAAACGGCGTGGATCCCTTCGACACCGACAGTGATGTGAATAGTGAGGAGGGCGCGTGTTACGATAAAAGAACTACAGTGTGTGTTGTGTCGAATGAATCGTCGCCGACCATCACCAACGCCAGCAAAAGGTTCATTCATTCTGCTTAATAAAAAGTGTTTCAATTAACGTTTTCTACTTGCAGGGCTTCCCTAGAACCGGCGATTCCTGGTAGCAGCAGAACGTCGAAATCGTCATCCACTTTGTTTGAGGGTGGGCTTCCGCAGATTTCAGTGGCCGACGTCCACAGACTGTCGGCTTCCAGTAGCAAAATCGACAAAAAGTGTTCATGGGCGCAGGAGACTCTGTTCTAATCACGCGCCCTTTTCAATGCTAATTCCCGTCTTCCCGATTCAATAATCAAAAACTGAATCAAACTCAGCGTATTTTTCTGCTCTGCAGTACTAGGAACGCCCCAATTTCGCTCGTTCAAAGTACTAGATACCATCGATATACCGTGTAGCCTTAAGCGTTTTCTGTTCAATGTTGCTACAGTGTTGCTCTAGTGTAGATTATTTTCTTAGTTGAGACCTTCAATCTAGCAATATACAGGGTGGAATTAAATTTTGTATCTGAAATTTTATTTTTATAACGTTTATACGCTCCTCAGCCAGGGCAGTTGAGTCATTTCAATCTTACCCATTATTGATTCATTGGTTTTCTTACCTAATTGCGACTTTGGTGACTTAAACTAGTTAAACGATAAATGTCTAGGTGGTAAGCAGTTAAGAGTATATAAAAATAAAACACTAGTTAGGCAGGGTAAATTACGCAAAAAACAGATTAAATCGGTGTTAATATTTTTTGTAAGATGTATCTACGTATCGAGCGATCATATGTATAACACAATATGTTAGTGCAGTGACGTAGCTATATTTTTATCATCTCTAGGTGGTTGTTGTTGTTGTTTTGATCAGGGAGACAGATTTTAAGCTAAAGCCAAAAACCCAGTAGTACCCTTTCCTTGTACATACAAGATTCGGGAAATTCGCCAAAAGTTCCAAGTATTTTTTTTGTATCATTTACACTTTGGAAATGCTAAAACATGAAAATTCACCAAAACTAAGATTAAGCCGCCCCTGGGTGCAGCACACGACATATCCAATAGGCGTAATTTCCAAATGTTTTTTATTTGCCATAATTGTACCTGTACTTTCATTATGTTCAATAAACTAGTTGTTTATCAACGTTTCAGTTTCACATAAACCTTGCTAGAAACTCACGAAACTCAATACACTGACAAAAACTGCGCGGCCGTAGCACTTTTTAGGGACTCATCTGCACACCCTGTACAATTCTTTCTATTAGTACATACAAACATATATATAAATATATAAATAATCTTTATTTCCTACAGAAAAAGGCTATCGACCCAATCGGTCTTTCTGCCCTTGTTTAGTATATATGTGCCTTAGCCTAGCTTATTCTAAAATTAATTCCTATTCCTAACGTTCGTATAAATTAATCAGCTATACAAAGAAAATAAAAAAAAAGTAAAAATTCCTGGCTTACAAAACAAACAGATATTAGTCCTTAGTTCAGTTGCGTTTGTAGGTGTTCTAGTAAAGTATCTGTTGGGGAACGAAAACGGGAGTGTTTTGTCGGTCTTGTGAGGTACATACAAACATTTTTATACAAACTGTGAATTCATGATAATAAATCAAAGTTGCATTTATCAAATCTGACGTTTAAACTAATTGCTTGACTAAACTAAATATTGACAACGTGCGCTAAATTAAACGCAAACGCAAAAAATTTGCGATGTTTTTGAAGTTTGTCAAAAAAAGTCGAATTACTGTTCACATTCGCGAGAAGAAAGAAGCGATATAGAGATTGATTAATGTTAAAGCGAGACGTAACATGAGACGTTTTATCGGAAAGCCGTATTATGGTTTACTAGCAAAGAGGGAAAGAAACGATCAATTGGATTTTGAGATATCAAAGCGAGATGCAATATGAGACACTAATTACTATTTAAATGTCATTGACCGCAAATATATAATTAATGTAAAATACAGACTGTCCCAAGCCTTTTGGCAGTGACGCAATAATTGTCGTTCTTTTCTGATTACGTGTCCAGTGAACGAGACGGAAATTTGATGTAATCAAAGCGTCTTTCATGAAATTGTTACAATTTGCCGAAGCACGGAATATTGAAATTATTGGTTTGATTTCTTAGCGAATGTTGGCAGTTTCTGATAATTTTTCCAAGTTTCCATTTCAATTTACCGATACGTTTTCTTAGAACTTGTACGAGTTTCTCATTTTTTCCATTCATTTTGAATTGTATATAAAAAAGTGCATATAAAAAAGTGGAAATAACTAACTTATTCAGTTGATTTGAAGTTTTCAAAGTGGTTGGCGACTGGTTGCGAACCGGTCCATTAACATTTACATACGATATGGGGATTCTATAAATAACGATTAGTATAACGATGTGTGATATAATGATCTTTTCAGGCCATAAACACCGAAATACCGGGACGTTTTTTTCTTCTATATACCAAGACTGATCAAAATTAGCCCAAAGTTAATAAGCAAATAAATGATATATTCCGGCCTACTAAAACAACAAAAGGCAATTTTCGAAAAATCAAAGTGAAAAATAGCCCGATGAGGACTAAAAATCAAAACTTTATCCACCCAGAGAAGAGACTTTGGCGTATAAAACTCATCCAAATTTGAATTTTTAGCTTCCCGAGTTATAGAAGAATTAAATGTGTAGTTCAGTTTTAGTAAAAGCTACTTTTTTGTCTGCATCGTAGGCCAGAAAAAATAAATTGCACGATTTTCTCATCTGAAAAAATCGTACTGAAAGGACACATTTGCTTGTTAAAAAACTCATTAAAAATCTTTAGAAGAAACATCTGTTTTAGAGTTACAGCACTTTGTAAGTTTTTGCTCATTTGATTCCAAACATGCTCATTCACAAGCGAATAAACTGAAATAGGCGTGGACTTAACGATAAGAATGCAAAAAACATCGGACTCTCACATTGGCCGGTAGGATGTCAGGATCTATTATCTATTGATGAAGTTTGTTAATTTCGGTTCTCCAAATTTTTCACTTAAATCGAATACGAGGTATGTTTAAAAATTGACAAAACGGAATCGAATTATGCGAATTCGCATACATGCATTTGGTACGCTACTTCATTGATTCTAATTGCGGTGGACTTGGCGCGAATATTTCCAAAAATTTCACCAACGGCCCTCGTAGAATGAAAATGTCTTGTGGTTTCCTTGACGACCGCTCTTGCCATCTCACTCCGTATCATGCTAAGTAGTGAGAGGAGTGATAACCATGGCCACGACACAGGCGCTCAGCCTTACGCTTGTAGTTACAAGGTGCATTCGAAAAATTTGCGAGTTTCAAATCTGCCTTTTATTACGGTTATTTTTGCTGCCAGATTAAGCCCATTCAGGAAAGAAAAATTGTTTTTCACGACCGCTTAAAAGCGCGTAAAACGAACCAATTTCCAACATACAGGGTGCAGTAAATAAACAGAAAATCAACAAACTTTGCAAAATTAAGAGCCCTTACCTTACTTTCGCCTGGAACTCCGGGTTGACTTTCAGCTTCTGGCCGCTTTTTCAACGATGGAACCACCTAAAGTTGCCGCTTTTCCAATGCCAAGCCGAATCGACCTATAAAACAGCCGCAATTAATTACTGCCATGTTGCAGTGGCAAAAATGGTTGAAAAAAGCAAATTAAGTGGGTTTATCGATGCGTCATTTAACCGGGCAAGGTGAAGCTGGGACAAATATGGGCATTGTACGTGTTTAAAAAATGAGAGTCTCGACACCGCACGTGGGTCGATTCCCTTAAATCAATAATTGAACATTGTTTGGCGAAAATAAGAGCAAACCTCAGGCCAAATTCGTTTAAAGCGACAATATCCAAGCAATTTCTGTGTCTGATCATGATCACTTTAGGCGCCACTCAGGGTCTTTAGGTAATGGCGCTCATGGTCAATTTGCGCCAATTACAGGCAATTGCAATAGGGGATTTGTGGATTTTTTCAGTGGCAAGATCGGCATCCTCAGCGGGAAACAGCAGAAGGATTCTTGGAGAACATTTCCGCAAATCGACACCCACTTTAGATTTTTTTATTCATGCAAATCCTGCGACTTTCGCCAGCTGTTTTCAACTTCCTAATTCCAAGCCTTGAATCTACCCGGTACTTTCATGGCACCATCTGACCTACTCATGAGCACACGTTATTTCCAGCAATGAGCTAATGACTTTGTGCGCCCGATAACCAGCTCGAATATGCACAATAACTGAAAACAACCGATGTTATAAACAATTGACAGCCTAAACGATCTACAGTTTAGCTGGTAATTAGCTGATGTGAAGGTAAATAACGAAAACGGTGAAGTGTCCGCCTATTGCGTGTGTTTAAAGGCGAAAAAAGGCGAATTAAAGAGCTCAATTAAACAATAGCGGCGAGTAGGTCGCAACCAACCCATGCCCATAAAAGAATACCCAACAGGTTGTCCTTAGATGTACAGCTTTCTGGTGGGGGTTCGTACAGTTTTCAACCGCAAAAAGTCCGATTGTTGCGATCAGTTTCGAAAGCGCGCTTACGAAGTTTTGGTGTGGTGCGGCATTTGGATTTTGTACCATTTTCTCGCTGTATTTATTCTCATACTAAAATTACTAAGTAAGTAAATAGCATCGTTGGTTAGTGACCCGAATTTAGAGCCTTTAGTAGAAAATTCCCTACTGGTGCCAGGCACCAATAGATTAGCCCCTGACGATCCATTAGAAGCCTAGACACTGTGCGCAAAATGTTAAGGGCGGGTATATGGAAAGTGTAATTTTTGGTAATTTTTGAATATATCGCGGTGGTCAAGCCATTGTAGCAAAATGGGCCGGAGTACCACCCTGAAAAAGCAACTTCGAACGTCAAAAATAGAACTTACTCAAACGCTCATTGTTGAAATTCTTGACCAAAAGTTCAAAAAGAGGATTTTATCGAATTTTTACTGCGGATATTGTTCATTGCTGATCCTCAATTTAACACACTTTCATATCCCTATTCTGGGCCTTCTTATCTTAGACAGTGTCCTTAATTGTGGAAAAACATTGCGGGAATACACCCGTATAACCGGCGATTTAGCGCTTGTAGGCCTGCTAGTTTCGCTGCAATTGCATTGCGTTGTCAAAAGAAGGGCCTACTATACCAGCAATCACGGACAAATCCGGAAACTTTTCCGAAGCGGAGATTTCTTGAAACTGATGAGTTTTATTTAAGTGTTGATAACAAGTACTCTCTGTAGCAAGTACTTGTAAGTACAGTAAACGAGACTGAAAATTGACGCAAAATAGTCGAAAAAATTGAAAATTTTGGTTCTAAAGCGCGAGAAATCATCAGAAAATTAGTAAAAGTAGAATTCTCACAATTTAGTTACTGCATAATAGTGACATTGAAGCTGAAAGTTTTCACAAAACACTATCCAAAAATATTAACACCAGTTTTTAACTGGATCATTGACTTTTTCGCTCTTGCCATACTGGCCCTTCTTCCACTGGACACAGTGTAGAGGATATCGATTCCCAATTTCCTTTCAGTCAGTCAGGTGATGGGAAACCGCACGCGTTTCCTCAAAATCGATTTGAATTATTATTTGCGCAAAAACCGAAAGCTCACCGCTAAAAATACAAAAGCGGACACCATCAGAGCCTAACGGTGGTCCCCAAACACCATCCGACCACTGATCAGTAAATGTGAAAAGGTAAATGAACCGGTTTTCGGCCTGTGGACAATAATGTCATGGTTTTGTTAGATCACCGCTCCATCCACACACTCTCTCTCCGCCATTTAAGGAAAAGTCCAATTTTGATTTGATTGATTTTTCTTTGCAACAGATCGTCATGGGTGGTATGACTCAAAGACCATGGACTCCGACCAAAAGACGTGGGCCAATCGCAGCTGAATATAACAGTCCAGGTCCGGCCTGTGTTTCTCTGCCCTCCTACATCGGTAAGAACCCGCAAATATCGGTTTAAATTGTGCTTTGCCTGAGCCGAATTTTCCAGGTAAAAAACCTTTGGAAGCCAAAACAGGGAGCGCTCCCGCTTTCAGTTTCGGGGCGAAGCCCAACGCCAAGTTGGAAAACGTAGGCCCAGGCCCTGGCCAGTACAACGTCACTGGTCTCAGTGCTAAAGGTACAAATTCGCATGAGGCTGAGAGAGATCCGCAGGATTTTGACTGGGGGCTGTTTTTTTTAGGCAAGGACACGCCACCAGCTTTAAGTCTGCACAGCAGGCCTAAAGATCCGCGGGCCGACAACTTTCCGGCGCCCGGAGACTACAACCCCGATAAGGCTGAAAAAGTAGTTCATGACAACTCGCCTAAATACACTTTTGGGCTGAAGACCAATGTGGGAAAGCCTGTTGATACTCCTGGTACGTGGTAAATGCGCAAAAACATGGCTTACCTTCGGGTGTAGATAAAGGTGTTTTTCAGTCGCTGGACACTAAACAGCCCGAAAATACTGGACAATCGGTTGGCGTCGGTTTAAATGTGGCCACGATGGTTTCACGTCACTATTATTTGCGGCGGGTGTTTGCGTGCGCGATTTTAACTAAGAAATTTGGAAATTACTGCCAAGCGAAGCACTATGGGGAGCAAAAGACGGCTACAACAATTCAAATAAACCGACCTTCGAAAAAAACGTGCAAATTTTGAAATAAATCGACTGGTTTTTGAAGTTAGCTGTCAAAAACCTTCAGCTTAAGGGGATAACTTGCAACAAGGCACAGGGTTGCCGGCTCGTAGTCAAGATGCGCCAAGGATGCCTTGCGCTTGGCCGAGCAGTGAAACCATATTTTTTCAAAAACGAATTTAAAAAATTCAAATAAAATACCAAGTAAACACTTGTTGCAAGCACACACTGTGTTATAAAAAAATATGTCCAGCGCCTTAAAACTCTTTTGATCAACCCACGTTAATGATTTACATCTGGTTATTTAACAAAAAATTTAAAAAATTAAGCATCTTGTTTAGTTTGGTTGGATGAATTCACTAAACATGTTCAAATACGTAAAAAGTGATATATTCAAACAATGAGAAAATATGGAACTGCGTTCGCGAAACTTGAAGATTTCAGCCAATTTTCGCCACCTTTGCTAAAACCTTGCAATCTAAATGAAATAACAGTGAGTTTCCATCGGGCAGCAGTTCAAAGACTGCAAAAAACGGCATTTTCATAACAAAATTCGCGTAAAATAACCAAAGTACTGCGGTCAGAAATCGCAGTAATTTCCCCCCAGATTCCATATTTTCATTGCTTGAATATATCGATTTGAAGCAAAATTAATCAGATTAATAGATTAATGAAAATTAATTATTTAACACAGCTCCTAACGCTTATAAACCTTTTACGCGTGCCAGTAGCCACAGGTACTCGTTTGGACGAAGAACGCCGATTGGTAAATTCTCAAACAGCCCTGGTTAGTTGATTATTATTTTTTTCATCTATCTACATGTCTGTGTCTCATCTTGTTCTTCTATCCATGTTTCATTCAACTGTACTGCACTTGGGCAGGACTGAGCCCTGATTTTTCGGTAATTGGAATCAGCTTAGTTTGTTCACGTTTTCTGCTTGCTACTCCTTGCTTCAGTGCATGTTTAATCAACCGATCTAATAAGCACAATTTCCAGCACCCAATCTATACAAAGTACCGGAATCCGAGAACGCACCCAAGTACACGTTCGGTGGCAAGGCACCAGAAGCGAAACCCTCTAACACGCCCGGTTAGCAGCTTTTTAAGTCTAATTCCTGGCAAAAACCTTCCTACTAGCACTCGTAGTGATAATTGCATGTCGTTTTCTAGCACCTAACGAGTACAACATCCCCACAGGAGAAAAACTGGATAATACTCCAAAGTATACTTTCGGAGTTAAGCCTGAACTGCCCAAACCCTTTGATATTCCCGGTTAGTGCACATATTCACGCCCCGGAAGGGCATTCATTAATGAGAACTTTTTAGCCCCTAATGTCTACAACATTCCCACTGGCGAAAAGCTGGATAATACACCAAAGTACTCTTTTGGAGTCAAGCCGGATTTGCCCAAACCTTTCAATATACCCGGTTAGTGCAGTAGTAGTAGCTAAACGAACCGCTTTAGTTGATTTCGCTGTTTTATTTTAATTTTTTCACCCGTAGCCCCCAATGAGTACAACGTAGAGAAAGCTGATTCCGTAATGCTCGAACATACTCCCAAATACAGCTTCGGATGTAAACTAAACTCGGAAAAACCTGCGGAAACTCCTGGTGCGTTCACATCCATTCCTCACTGTTTCCAACCAAAACTTTCCGCTTCCGAGAAAAACTCTAAATCGAATTGTGGTTTTTCTAGCCCCTAATGTCTACAACATTCCCTCCGAGGTTGGCGACAAAAAGGGAGCGCCTGCTTACACCATTTCGGGACGAAACAAGGAACCGCTAGACGAAAGGATTAAGAACCCGGGACCGGGACAATACAACAACGTTGATCCGGAAAACTACAAAAACCACTCCCCGTCCTACACAATTAGTGGCAGGACCAACGTCCCGAAGGATGACACCATTCCCGGACCAGGAGTCTATTCTCCGGAAAAGGTAAAGCAAATAAATGACTAAATTTCCAAATTAGCTCTACTGTGGAACATTCGCCATTTTATTCAGATGCATATCCACAATATTTCGAACTGGGATTATGGGCAATCTTGGGAGAACCGTATGATTGCTAGACGAGAAATAACACACAAACGCTTTCATTTCAGTTTTACGCATGAATTCAAAGGGGTATCAGTAAGCAACAGGCAAAATCTTTGATTTACAAAACGCAGTAAAAAATCATCTTGGGCCAAGATGCAAAATTTTGGAAAAGATTGGAAAAATTGGAAGTGAAAATTGCAAAACTTCTAAACTCTCGTGTGCTCCATAAAATGGACTAAACCACAATCGTCTACGAGTTCGAATTATGTTGTTCTGAAGAATGTGTAGTTAAAAATTGGAGAATTTTCAATTCCCACTGAAATTTGCCCAATTGGGGGAGTATTCCTGCTTTACAAAGCAACGTACGTTGAACTCATAAGTTTCTAAGTGATCGGAAGCATTTAGACCACATCGAGGACTGGTTTAGACGGAAAATTTTAGTCAAAAACATAACACCATAAAAAATTCTAGTGTCGCAAATATCTTCTCAATTACACTCTAAACTATACTGAAATTGATTAATATTTAAATAATTCTCTACAAGACGTTTACTGATTCTCAAACAAATACTGGCTTCAAACAATTTCCAGAAAAACATTAAAAAAATCTTCATAGATCACTGGTCAAGCTTTTGCTCGCATTCACCATTATGTCCATTCACACCTTTCTATGTTAAACAGGTAATGGCGCATTTAAAACATGCCCCCAGTCATTCGTTCGGCATACGCCATTCTCCCTTTCTGGGCACTTACAACACGTTTCTCCAAAAAGGCGATAAAACCAGCCTTCTTTTCTAACCGCCAAAAGTCGACTAACCGATCGTTCATTTGGGGGGTTTTCCGCTACTAACCAACACTAACCGGCGCGTCTCGGGTAAGCCCTAGGGGTCTTTAACCAGGCAAGTTTTATAGGATTTTTGTGTGTTTTTTTTCAGGTTTTGCTTGAGTTCCCGCCGGCCCACAGTTTCGGAATTCGACACTCCATTTACGCCGACCATTACTAAACACTAAACGAAACACTCCGAATTCGACTCGACTGCCCTGTTTGGGACTTTCATGTTTTCCTTGTTGGTACATTGTAGTGAATGAATTTTTTAAACGTAAATCCGCAATAACTGAGCTTTGAATAATTGCGCCATTTAGTGGAAACTCAATCAGCCAAAAACGACAATAAAAAAAATAAAAAACTGATTGAGTTTCGATCTTTGCCAATCGCATTCGCTTATTAATATTAAATGGGCTTGTTCCTCATTACGCTCTCACATATGTTAAGGATAAAATACACCATGTTTTAATGTATGTTTTAATAAAGAATAAAACCAAGTCGAAGTGTTTTTGTTTATAGCCCGGAACCCGGAATCAACAGCGAATTTAATCTGGGCAGATGCTCTCTGCTGGATTACGCAACGGACAAAAACGCGATTCTCACACGATAGGTACAGGTTACAGATTACAAACCAGTTGGGCAGTTACGACCGGAAATGCCCATTTAAAAGACGTTAAGCGGCTTTCTCTACAGAAATGCGCACAATAATCAGACTGGTTTACAACTTTCAAAGCAAGCTGGTAAAATTCCTAGTCATCTAACGCATCGCTCGGTTAACAGAATATATCTAATTAATTCCCCAATTTCCACACACAACAGCTATTAGAACCCGGCCATGAGTGCTAATTTTTGCAGCTAAACATCGCTTCAAATGGTAATTACCGCAATTTGCCTAAGTTAAGTTGAATAAAAACAACCGCAATCCTTTAAAGTGGCAACTTTTCCAGTTGCGGGGGTTTATTGTTCGCGCATTCGCTATATTGGCCAGTTAAGGCTGGGGCGCGATAATCATGCAGAGCAAAGTTTATAAGGATTAACTTGAAAATCGTCAAAATTTTGCAAAAAGCTCTATAAACAATCAAAAGCCATTATCAATAACAATCAAAAAACTTATTGAGCTAAATGTTTCTAGCCGGCCCTCAAGAGCAGACTCAAAGTCAATGGTGGCGCATTCGCCATTTAGACTAGGAAGATTTTCAAGCAAATTGTCACATAAATATTCGGCTTTTAAATTCTGATTTATTTCTTCAAGAGCCCACCTACTTTGGTTATTTAGCCTACTGTTAAAGCATATATATTCCATTGTCCTAATAAACTTCATTTGCATTTCTAGCTTAGATGATCAATCAAATCTAAAATATCGAAGGTGGGTTTTAAAAGATACAAAAACAAAAAAAAACGACTCTTTCTTTAGCGGGGACCGTCGTACCTTTTTGCATTCAAGCCCGCATTAAAGCGCGTTAATAAATCCATAACTAATTAGATGCAAACTCATATACTCACGTCCCACCAGCCATCCCAAAAAAGGAAGCTTTTAGCAATAATGGTTGATTGGTCATGAAGTGGAAACGCGCAGCAGTGTCAAAAGATTGCTGAGCCTGCTGATTATTCCTGCCATAGAGAACGATTCTCGCTTGCTGGTTCCTGCACAAGTGTCTGGCGCGAAGGTAGCGGGCTGCACTCAACTATAAAATTCTACTTAATTAATCCAAATCATCCTTAATTGTGCCTTAAGTGATGTGCCTGAAAAAGCTGGTGATTTAAGTGTCTTTTGTGTAAGGATAACGCCTCGAATCGCAAGTAAGTCCAATCGCACATAGCCTGAGGGCTTAAGTGACCTCTTTGACGCGGAAGAGGGTTTTGAGAGGGAAAAGCCACCGGAAAGATTGAGGGCGAAACAGTCGGCAAATAGCAGGACAAAACGCGAGAAAAATGCAAAAAGGGCGCTTGAAATGAATTTCTGACGTCAGTTTTGCCTGGGGCAAGTACGCAGCATTTACATGTAACCAACCGAAGAACTGCACCAGGAAAACATTCCATAAATTCAAATTATTTTATTGTACTCGGTACTCTTGCGAATAGAAAAACGGCATAATTAAGCCACATTATTAGCCCCAAAAGGGCTTAAACTAGAACGGCCCACTAGAACCGATAGGCCAAAGATGCAGCATCGGAAAAACCGGTTGCGGTGCCAATTTGAAACGGCAATTTTCTTCGGTTCATACAGTCAGTTCGTAAGCTACAGAAACACAGACATAAAAATCAACCAGAAGCTCTTTTAAACAGTTTTATTTTAAAAAACCGCAGCCTTTGGGTCCAGATGTCCCCATCAAGTCAAGGTTGATGCTCTGAACCACTTGTTCTCCACACACAGACACTGGTTCATTTTCTATAAACAATTTGCCACATATGGGATGGGTCAGTATGAGCTGCAATCGGCGTAGGAAGTATTTATCATTCATTTGCCTGGATGATTAATCGCGTTAATTGTACGTCCGGTTTTTGCGCGTTTAGAACAATACAATAACCCGCAGCGACAGTTTTCAAATCTGCAGAAAATCCGCCGGAAATGCTTGCCAGAATGAAATTAAACAATCGCATTCAAAATGCTTACTAATAGGCTGGTTTCGTTGAGCACGACTAAAGGCGGAAGGAAGTTCTTTGTGGGCGCCAGTGTGCCAACCAAACGTTTTATTCAAATTCTTCATTTAATTCCCAAAATTTTATAATCTGTTTCACTGATAAACCACAGCATTAAAAGCTTAGAGGAAGGATTCTAATGTAAACCATGCAGAAACGAAGCCCGATAGAAAGAAAACACTTACAACAGACACCACCTTTGCCCCTGATTTGATAAGGCCAGAATTCCCCATGACGGATTTTCAAATCACTATCAAAACGCTTATAGAGAATCTTCGGAAATGTAGCACAAAACACGGCTTTTTGGTCAACTAGACGAAACATATTTGGGGCGCCGATGCCTTAATTTTTGATTAAATATTGTCCTAATTCAAACTGGCCAGTTTTCGGAGGTTTTCTGCACCCTAAAAACGTAATGAAGGTGCAGGCAGCTTGCATGCAAAAAACATGCTTTTAGGCCGTGTTGCAAAAAACGAGCGTCTTAGATCTTCAGAGATATGTTCGAAACGGAAGCAAAAGCACCCCTGAAGATGCAAGCTCATACAGGAAGAAACTCTTTTCCACTACGGTATTAAACTGATCAGTTTCACTCTGTTTTGCAGGCTTTGACGCCCTGGTAGAAATATATTTTTTCTGACGTTTCACAAGCACAAGTGGGTCACATCTTCAAAGGTGGTTTGCTCGGTATGGCAAAATTGCGACAAGAAGATTTTTTAAAGAGCGTTTTTACTAAAAACCAAACATTTTCAGGCTCAGACTTATCAAACTGGGAAAAATTAGGCTTTAATGCGATTTGTATAAAATTTTCAGCATGTTTAGAGTCAACTCTGTTCTAAAGGTACGAAAAATGTACAGATGCTCCTCGTCTTATTTCGGAAGAAGCGAATTTTTGAAAGTAGAGAGTGCAGTTGGGTAAAAAACAGATATTTACTTAGATGGCAAAAATTAAGATCAAGATACATTTTTATGAAACTTTGGGTATCTTTAGGGTCAAGTCTCGTCTCGAGTTGGTGAAAGTTTCAGATTCCTGACTCCTTCAGTTTCAAAGGTACAATTTTTTTTTAAAGGGCGTAATTGACGGAAATCATACATTATCAGTATACGATTTACCAAACCGGCAAAAATCAGGATTTGGTGAGCTTTGCTTGAAATTTTCAGCATATTTAGTCAACTCTTCTAAAGATAGAAAAAAAKTCAAATTGCTCCTYGCCTAACTTTAGAAGATGCGAAATTTTAAAGTAGAGAATGCAGTTGGCTAAAAWCAGACATATTGAGACAGATATTTACTCAGATGGCAAAAATTAAGGTCAAGAGAAATTTTTATGAAACTTTGGGTATCTTTAGGGTCAACTCTCTTCTCGAATTGCTGAAATTTTCAGATTCCTGACTGCGTAAGTTTCAAATGTTCATTTTTTTAAGGTCGCTATTGACAGAAAACATACTTTTTCAGTCTCCGATTTACCAAACGGGCAAAAAGCAGGATTTGGTGCGCTTTGCATGAAATTTTCCGCATATTTATGGTCAACTCTCTTCTAAAGATAGGAAACATTTCAAATTGCTCCTCGCCTTACTTTGAAAGATGGAAATTTTTTGATTAGGAGTGCAGTTGGGTAAAAACAAACGTTTTGAGATGGCAGAAATTAGGATCATGAGATATTTTTATGAAACTTTCAGAATCTTTAGAACCAAGTGCCTTCTCAAGATGGTGAAAGTCTGAAATTGCTATCAAATTGCAAAAAAAAAWTTTTCTAACGTTTCGCAAGCACGAGTGGCTTGCATCTTCAGAGGTGGTTTGCTCGGTGTGACAAGATTGAGAGGCATGTTTTCTCAATTTAAGATCAATTTCAAGCGTGTTGAAAAACATGATATTAGTCACATCAGTTAATTTAATTATCAGAAATTGGGTGTGCAGCCTTTGGGATTAAATGATGTCAAGAGTTCGAGGCGGCTTTGATTGGTTAATTCAATTATTAGTCATCAATCATCAAAACATGCAGTAAAGAATAATGCCTATACAGTTAGAGTAGTATCTAGAGTAGCTGTTAGTGCTCTATTTACCTTTGTTCCTCTACGTTGCTTGAAGCTATCAAACTCTTCAGATGCTTAACATCTCTTCGTGCAATGGGTCCCAAAACTTCAGGCAAATGGAGATGCGTCCATTCGGGAGGTTCAACTTTTAAGGGTTCAACTAGCTCAATATGTGCGCTGTCCATGGAATTCGGAGCATCGGTCTCCATAATCACATTTCTTCTGTTCGCTGCTTTAATTGTGCAGGTTTTACCCCAATATCAACAGATGAGGAAAATGTTGACAAATTATTTTTGTAATGGATCAGTCGTTCCAGGTCCATAAAAATATGGTTTTTATTTAAGAAAACTGATAGTTAGTACAAAAAACGTCTGAGCAGCTAATGAAACTTTAAACTACACAAAGGAAGGTTAATTTCTTCCTCTAACAGACGAAGAAAGCGCAAAAACCATGCTATTTTTTAGAAGAACCACAACTTCGTTATTTGGAGGAACTTATGGCTTTTGAAAGATTGATTTTAAAGCCAAAAGTGTTCTCTTTCTTCATTTTTTTGTAGAAGTAAAATCTATGAAAAATTGTTTACTTTTCCAACACTGTAAAACTTTCGGTGTTTCAAGTGAAACACCGACATTTCACTAACGAATTTATTGGGGAAAATCAGTGGGGAAATCGTGGCTTCCGTTGTTATTTCATGTAAAAGCCGAAAACTCAATTAGTAAAAAGTAGTAAAAAACCGAAATTTTCGCAAAAAACAGATGTTAGTCGAGGAATTCTCTGTAAGATGAACACAGTGTTATCCGCGCAAGCAAAAACTTGATATTCTAAAAAATTACCCAAAATTTCAACCGTCCAGGAGTTTATCTATTTTAATTACTTTCGGTGTCACTGTGCTTCCATTATACGCAGAAAATAACAGAAACCATTTAAATTGAATTCATTTCGTATTGATGCTTCGGATATTTGTCGGCTATTGTTTGAAAATGCAGAATAATCAGACAGCCGTTCTTGACCCTTTTTGCTTGACTTTTCCATCCACCAGAATCTAATCTAACTAATGGTAATGAATTGACAACATTTGCCTAATTAGCTGGCCATACAGGCTGAAAATGTATTAAATAAACTTCTGGAAGTAATCAATATATTTTAATTCCCGATATTGGTTGGGTAGTTGTTCCACGCGGAGCAATCATAGGGAGCAATCAATCATTGTGTTCGTTGCTGATGGTTTGGCTTGTTTTGGGGACAAACAATCTTCAACAAGCCCTGAAAGAATCCGAACATCGATGGCGTGCGGCTGATTCAATACTCCATTAATAAATAACAACGGAAAACGGTTATAAAAGCGATTGTGTGCGTATTAAAAATGCAAAAGCTGCCAGCAATGAAATTACTGTTTTCGTTACTTGGATAGTACGTACACACAGACAGCGAAGTAATAATATCGATTAAAAATCCCACCCCATGGAACATCCATTATACTTTCCACTGGATATCTGGTTCGACGTTATGGGGATGGATTGAAGGAAAATTCGCGTAAAAGCCTTGAGTTGTGGAGAACAATATCCGCTTTGTCCGGCAGGTTAAAGCGCTTAATTTCTTTATTGCCAACTTACTGCATTTCAAATGTAAGCATTGGAAACAATATTGTTTATTACGTTCATATACATTTATGCTAAAATAGCATTCAAACAGCTGCATGCAATCGGGCGCTTCTTAACTTTTTCAATTCTGAGAGGAAGATAAACGGAACAATTGCCAATGTTTAAAGGAGGCCTTTTTTTGTTCTTTTTGCAATGGCATTTTGCGCAACAACAACGTAGTTCAACTCGGATTTTTCAGGATTTTTTGCGATTTCTATGAAATTTTTCGCATGTTTAGAGTCAACTGTCTTCTAAAGATGTGGAAAATTTCAAATCGCTCCTAGTCTTAGTTTGGAAGATGCAAATTTTTAAAGTCAACAGTGCTGTTGGGTCAAAACAGACATTTTGAAACTGATATGTACTTAGATGGCAAACATTAAGATTATGATAGATTTTTATAAAACTTCATATCTTTAGATCTTTATATCTTTAGAGTCTAGTGTCTTCTTAAGATCATGAAACCCTTAAATTGCTAGCGGCCTCAGTTGGGAATATACAACTTTTGTTAAAGTGCGTAGTCAACAACAAACATAAATTTCCAGTCTCCGATCCACCAAACTGGCAAAAATCAGGATTAGGTGCGATTTGTATGAAATTTTCCACATGTTTATAGTGAAATGTCTTCTAAAGATGCGGAAAATTTCAATTTGGTCCTCGCCTCAGTTTGGAAGATGCAAATTTTGAAAGTAAACAGTACAGTGGGGTCGAAACAGACATTTTGAAACCGATATTTACTTAGATGGCAAAAATTAAGATCAAGATAGATTTTTATAAAACTTTCAGTATCTTTAGTCAAGTGTCTTCTTAAGATCATGAAAGCCTCAAATTGCTAGGACCTCAGTTGGAAATATACAATTTTTGTTAAAGTGCGTAGTCAACAACAAACGTAAATTTCCAGTCTGCGATTCACCAAACCGGCAAAAATCAGGATTTGGTGCGCTTTGCATGAAATTATCATCATGTTTAGAGTAAACTGTCTTCTAAAGATGTGGAAAATTTTAAATCGCTCCTCGGCTTAGTTTGGAAGATGCAAATTTTTTAAGTCAACAGTGCCGTTGGGTCAAAACAGACATTTTGAAACTGATATTTACTTAGATGACAAAAATTAAGGTCATGATAGATTTTTAAAAACTTTTAGTATCTTAATATCTTTAGAGTCTAGTGCCTTCTTAAGATGATGAAAGCCTTAAGTTGCTACCGGCCTCAGTTGGGAATATACAATTTTTGTTAAAGTGCGTAGTCAACAACAAACATAAATTTCCAGTCTCCGATTCACCAAACTGGCAAAAATCAGGATTTGGTGCGATTTGTATGAAATTTTCCACATGTTTAGAGTAAACTGTCTTCTGACGATATGGAAAATTTCAAATTGATCCTCGGCTTACTTTGGATGATTCAAATTTTTAAAGTAAATAGTGCAGTTGGGCCGAAACAGACATTTTGAAACCGATATTTACTTAGACGGCAAAAATTAAGCTCAAGATATATTTTTATAAAACTTTCAGTATCTTTAGAGTCAAGTGTCTTCTTAAGATGATGAAAGCCTTAAATTGCTACCGGCCTCCGTTGGGAATATACAATTTTTGTTAAAGTGYSTAGTCAACAGCAAACATAAATTTCCAGTCTCCGATTCAAAAAACTGGCAAAAATCAGGATTTGGAGCGATTTGTATGAAATTTTCCACATGTCTAGAGTAAACTGTCTTCTGAAGATACGTAAAATATGTAATTGATCCTCGTCTTAGTTTGGATGATGCAAATTTTTAAAGTAAATAGTGCAGTTGGGTCAAAACAGACATTTTGAAACCGATATTTACTTAGATGGCAAAAATTAAGACCAATATAGATTTTTATAAAACTTTCAGTATCTTTAGTCAAGTGTCTTCTTAAGATGATGAAAGCATTAAATTGCTAGGGGCCTCAGTTGGAAATATACAATTTTTGTTAAAACGTCGTGCGTTTTCAACAAGTGAAGTAGTCAACAACAAACATAAATTTCCAGTCTGCGATTCACCAAACTGGCAAAAATCAGGAGTTAGTGCGATTTGTATAAAATTTTTAGCATGTTTAGTCAACTGTCTTCTATAGATGTAGAAAATTTCAAATTGCTGTAAAAGCAAACACTTTGAGACCGATATTTCCTTAGATGGCAAACATTAACTTCATGAGATATTTTTATGAAACTTTGGGCATCTTTAGAGCCAGGTTTCCTCAAGATGGTGAAAGTGCGATCTACTTTCGCTGGGAAGATACGACTAAAAAACTGATGTAGTCGACAGAAAACATCCTTAGGACCAAATTCCTAGAGATGACAGCTTAATAACTACAAAAACCAGCGGTTTTAAAAAAATACAGTAAATTTAACTATAGAATAAGTTTATAGAATTTTCATTTTCGTTTCAAGATCGTGTGGAAAACCCCTGGCTTTTAAATTTATTAGGCCGCCGCCTGTAGGCATTTGACCCTAAATCGCTACCGCATCTTCAGAGGTGGCTGTTTTCAACATTCAGCAGATTTTGCATGCCAGCAATGCATATTCGCTATCTTATCACATGATAACACTTTTCGGAAATATGTTTATTTACTCATACGGCTGCATTCGGGATATATACATTTAGTCACCATGTTATCGTTTCCTCATCATTGCATCGTAAATATAAAACACCTGGCGGCCAAGTAGTCAAAATAAAAATACGAATTCCGCTCTTAAAATCGCCTTGAAATATTCAAATGCCGCACTAAAACCGAGATTCGGGCGCTAATATTTACATGATCTAACAATAAAACCGCAATATTAACAGCGTCTTCAAACCGGCTATTTCAAATATACATTCTTCTATTGAAACAGCTTGGATTTTCCTGCTTTTCCAGCTGACCCCGACATGTATCAAGGAATCAACGATTCGAACGGTCCGAAACTGTCGCGATCCGGCAGCCAAATATGCCCAACACCGGAAGACGAACTGCTGGAGGCCACTCTGGACAACAAAGTCCATAAGATCGAGCAACTGATCAGAAGACACGAATATCTGCTGATCTACACCTATCCGGATTACAACAAAAAAATCTTGCTGATTGCCTGTTCCGAACCGGACGTGAATGCGGCCACAGTGGAAAAACTGCTGAACCTGAAGGCGAATCCTCGAGACCACAATGAAGACGACGGATGGGAGGCGCTGCATTTTGCAGCCCAAAAGACCAACTTCGACGTTTTGAATGCGCTGCTCAAGCGAAATCCTGGGGACGCGAATAATCAAACATTACAGGGTACGTTTCACTGCACCACTCAATCAATCAACACCAACAATTGTTTTTTCTCAGGTGGAAATGCGCTGCATATTCTAGTGCGGCATGGGGACAGAAGCGCAGAAGATTTCTACAAATGCGCCAGGCTCCTGATCCAGAAGGGCGTCGATGTGGACCAGGTGGACAACAACAACAAATCCGCCCTGTATTGGGCGGATAAAAAGGGCGTGGGTGAGAACATCCGGAGGATAATTGAAGAAGAGAGGGCAAACGGGCTGGTAAGCCCCACACCAAAATTGCCTGGACCTTCAATCACTTGCTAGCGCTTGCAGGTGATTAACAACAACGTGGACAAGGACAAGGACAAATCCGAGTACCAGCAGCTGCTCAACCTCATGAAACGAGGGGATGAAGACCAGTTCCTCCAGATCAACAACGACCTCGTCCAAAGCCTGGCAAATTTCACTGATTGCGACTGCACTTTGCTGCAGTTTGCCTGCGATCGGGGGCTGACCAGGTGCGTGCAGCGCCTGTTGGACTTGGGCGCTGATCCCAGCGCAACTGGGAGAATCAACGTCACAAAACCCGTAGGCCCGCCCTTAACTACTGTCGCTGCCCTGTTTCAATTAGATGCTCTTTTACAGATCATCATAGCATCCGAGCACGGATTCAGCGCCATTTTCCAATCCCTACTGGATAAGTACCACCCGATTTCCAACATTCCAGAGGGTGTTTTGAGCAATGTGCTCCAATACATTGACCGCACGCAGCACGATAACAAGGGCTGCTACAGGGCGTTTATCAACAAAATGAAACAGTGTCCCGATCCAGACGAAGTCTCCCTGAAGCTCAACGAGGTGGAGAGTAACGCACGCAACACCCCTCTACATTACGCGATCAGGTGAGCTCCTTGGGGGGGGATTTCTGAGCCTTACGAAAACGATGCTTTAGATACGCTGATCCGGAAATAGTCCAGGACTTGCTCAGCCTGGGGGCTTCGCTGGGCGCCAAGAACAAGTACAAGGTGATGCCCATTGAGGACATGGAACCGCAGTGTTTGGAAAAACATCTGGATAACTGCATCGAGTTCGACATCAAAAGCAGGAAGATCGAAAAGGAGGATTTCCAGGTGAAGTTCAACTATCGCTCCATCATCCCACCATATGCCAAGTGCAAATACAGTGAAGCCTACGCTTACAAAGACGTGGAAGCCACTGGGATCAATTCGACCATTCAAAAAGAACTGGTGGCTGAAACTGAGGTGAGTTTGGGGGGTTTGCGGGACGTTCCATACAAACCAGGCGGTTTACGAAGGGTGAAATATTTCGGAAAGTACCGGGGTTACAAAATTCTCCTTCTAGAGACAAGAATTCTAGTGTGTTTTATAATAAAAATCCAAATCTTCTGCTGATTTCTCGGGTTGTAATACCACATTGTCTTATTTTGTCCAGGATTTTGTCAATTTCCATTTCCTTTCAGTGAATTTTTGTCAGACGCAATCCGACTCGAAGGACCGTAATTTCACATTTAAACAGTTCAAAAGTATGCTTAAACAATTATTGTAATTACAATGTTTTTTTAATGGATGATTTTAATAAAAACCAGTTTTTTGTTCGAGACACACGATTGGTGGACAGCTTTTCAAGAAAAAAAATTATGTCAACTTATTCTACAATTTGGGTCCACGCATCTACGTCAGGACAGAACCGGCTGTTCCTCATCCGGGCGTTTGCGTTTTCGTCCACTTTCTGGACGAATTATATCGTTTTATAATCCAAGATGCAAATTTATTGATGACTTCTCGCGTTCTAGCATCAAAATTTGCAATTTTAGCGTTTGATTATGCGTCAATTTTCAGTCTCTTTTACTGTATGCCTTCGGTAGGCACAATCCGGCTCGAAGGACCAAAGTTTTAGTGAACTGTTACAGCTTTTACGTTTGAATCAAAATGGAATGAGATCACTTAGTCAATTTTCGGCAAACGAGCTGCGTTTTTAAGAACTACTTTGTTGCTTTTTGTCCAGAGGTTTTCGAATAATCGCGTTTTAAAGCTACAGAAACAGAGATTTTGTTTTTCAGATTAGTGTTTAAACAAAAATGATGTAATTGGGTCTCCTTATGGAAAGGAGTGAAAATCTTAAACCACAAAATTTCACTTGTAAAAACGAGAAATACATTTTCAATGGCATAATAAAAAAAATTAAAATTAATACAATTTTTCTAAAAGACGACCCAAACGACTTGAAAAAATTCCTAGAAGATGAATGACTTCTGACGGCATCTGAAGACCCAACTATCCAACAGCTTTAGTTTTATTTATTCAGATCATCTATTTTTTCATAAAGAAAAACATTAATTGAATACATTTCTAGATTTTCAAGTGAAAAACGATTTTGAATTAAAAATACTAAACGGATCAAACGCCAAATAGTCATTAACAAATAAAGTTTGTTTATTTATTATAGTTTTAATCATACATCATTTTACTCATACACTCAAGTAAATCGAAGTTTTTCTTTGATAATTATTAGGTAAATATATACAATATTTTTTATTTTAAAGAAAATTTTCTCCATTAGTAAAGACCAAATTTGGAAATGTCTCATACATTTTCTTCTTACATTTTTCATCGATAAAAAATGCTTTTGTAATTTTTTTCAATTATTTTGTAACATTTCTACTAAATCAACTTGAAGCAACTGGCAATTAAAACTGCTAAATAATTATTTTATTTGAAATTCCGTTTGTTTCAATATTGCGTTGCAGGCCAAATGTATGGGAATGCGAAAGTTATTCTTGTAACTATATTTTGGCAAAATAGGCGATATTTATTTAAGAAGTGTTAGTTGTAACTGTTTGAAATTGAGTTTCTTCCACACGTGCTTGTGTAATTTAAATAAAGCTCTTGTTAGTACATGAAATGATCCACCTTTTTTAGCTTTCTACTTTTAATTATTTTATTTTGGATCAAAATCAACGGAGGCAAATCAAATTAAACTTTACGAAACTGGGAAAGGTCGCGTCTAACTAACCCAAATAACTTTCTTTCCTTTTCAACGTTCTTGGAGCTTTCAGTGGGCACAATACTAGTAAAAACTGGGTTTT